GAACGAACCAATATGAACGGTGTCGTCTTGATTAACGGGGTTTTACAGTACTATGCATTCCAGGACCATCCGGTACAGATATTACACCTGATGGTTCAGTCCTGTGCCAGGCTTGTCTCCATAACATTACTGCATTATAGTTGAAAACTTAAAAAACATGATTAATAGATTTAGTGTTTTGACTACGATCGGTCAAAACGGACATGTTACGAAACACAGGTGAGTGGCCTCGTCTACTCGCCACAGTACAGTACGTGACAGTAAGTGTGGCTGGGAAATGAGTACGACAATATAAGCACTCGGTAGGGACACTGTGTGTGTTGAGTGTGTCAACACACTATCTACAAAGGCGCGGGTCGGTTTGTTTACTTATTAACATCAGAACGCAGCAAATGGCTCCGGTTTAGTTACAGACAACTCTCACTTACGTTGTGTCGGAGTCCCAGGCAGCACGTCTCGCGAGTTGCCGCTGAATTAGCTTCGTAACCCTTTTCACTCCCCGCTACACACCCTATATACCAGACCCTCTAAGACCACTACTTCCATGCTACCACTTCAACACTGCTGCTACCACCTCGTTACACACCTGATATACCAGACCCTCTAAGACCACTACTTCCTTGCTACCACTTCAACACTGCTGCTACCACCTCGTTACACACCTGATATACCAGACCCTCTAAGACCACTGCTTCCATGCTACCACTTCAACACTGCTGCTACCACCTCGTTAAACACCTGATATACCAGGCCCTCTAAGACCACTGATTCCATGCTACCACTTCAACACTGCTGCTACCACCTCGTTAAACACCTGATATACCAGGCCCTCTAAGACCACTGCTTCCATGCTACCACTTCAACACTGCTGCTACCACCTCGTTAAACACCTGATATACCAGGCCCTCTAAGACCACTGCTTCCATGCTACCACTTCAACACTGCTGCTACCACCTCGTTACACACCTGATATACCAGACCCTCTAAGACCACTGCTTCCATGCTACCACTTCAACACTGCTGCTACCACCTCGTTAAACACCTGATATACCAGGCCCTCTAAGACCACTGCTTCCATGCTACCACTTCAACACTGCTGCTACCACCTCGTTAAACACCTGATATACCAGGCCCTCTAAGACCACTGCTTCCATGCTACCACTTCAACACTGCTGCTACCACCTCGTTACACACCTGATATACCAGACCCTCTAAGACCACTACTTCCTTGCTACCACTTCAACACTGCTGCTACCACCTCGTTAAACACCTGATATACCAGGCCCTCTAAGACCACTACTTCCATGCTACCACTTCAACACTGCTGCTACCACCTCGTTACACACCTGATATACCAGACCCCTCTAAGACCACTACTTCCATGCTACCACTTCAACACTGCTGCTACCACCGCGTTACACACCTGATATACCAGACCCTCTAAGACCACTGCTTCCATGCTACCACTTCAACACTGCTGCTACCACCTCGTTAAACACCTGATATACCAGACCCTCTAAGACCACTGCTTCCTTGCTACCACTTCAACACTGCTGCTACCACCTCGTTACACACCTGATATACCAGACCCTCTAAGACCACTACTTCCATGCTACCACTTCAACACTGCTGCTACCACCGCGTTAAACACCTGATATACCAGACCCTCTAAGACCACTACTTCCATGCTACCACTTCAACACTGCTGCTACCACCTCGTTACACACCTGATATACCAGACCCTCTAAGACCACTGCTTCCATGCTACCACTTCAACACTGCTGCTACCACCTCGTTACACACCTGATATACCAGACCCCTCTAAGACCACTGCTTCCTTGCTACCACTTCAACACTGCTGCTACCACCTCGTTAAACACCTGATATACCAGACCCCTCTAAGACCACTGCTTCCTTGCTACCACTTCCACACTGCTGCTACCACCTCGTTAAACACCTGATATACCAGACCCCTCTAAGACCACTGCTTCCTTGCTACCACTTCAACACTGCTGCTACCACCTCGTTACACACCTGATATACCAGGCCCTCTAAGACCACTACTTCCTTGCTACCACTTCAACACTGCTGCTACCACCGCGTTAAACACCTGATATACCAGACCCTCTAAGACAACTACTTCCATGCTACAACTTCAACACTGCTGCTACCACCGCGTTAAACACCTGATATACCAGACCCTCTAAGACCACTACTTCCTTGCTACCACTTCAACACTGCTGCTACCACCTCGTTACACACCTGATATACCAGGCCCTCTAAGACCACTACTTCCTTGCTACCACTTCAACACTGCTGCTACCACCTCGTTACACACCTGATATACCAGGCCCTCTAAGACCACTACTTCCTTGCTACCACTTCAACACTGCTGCTACCACCGCGTTAAACACCTGATATACCAGGCCCTCTAAGACCACTGCTTCCTTGCTACCACTTCAACACTGCTGTTACCACCTCGTTACACACCTGATATACCAGACCCTCTAAGACCACTACTTCCTTGCTACCACTTCAACACTGCTGCTACCACCTCGTTACACACCTGATATACCAGGCCCTCTAAGACCACTACTTCCTTGCTACCACTTCAACACTGCTGCTACCACCTCGTTACACACCTGATATACCAGGCCCTCTAAGACCACTACTTCCTTGCTACCACTTCAACACTGCTGCTACCACCTCGTTAAACACCTGATATACCAGGCCCTCTAAGACCACTGCTTCCTTGCTACCACTTCAACACTGCTGTTACCACCTCGTTACACACCTGATATACCAGACCCTCTAAGACCACTACTTCCTTGCTACCACTTCAACACTGCTGCTACCACCGCGTTAAACACCTGATATACCAGACCCTCTAAGACCACTACTTCCTTGCTACCACTTCAACACTGCTGCTACCACCTCGTTACACACCTGATATACCAGGCCCTCTAAGACCACTACTTCCTTGCTACCACTTCAACACTGCTGCTACCACCTCGTTACACACCTGATATACCAGACCCTCTAAGACCACTACTTCCTTGCTACCACTTCAACACTGCTGCTACCACCTCGTTAAACACCTGATATACCAGACCCCTCTAAGACCACTGCTTGCTTGCTACCACTTTGACACTGCTGCTACCACCTCGTTAAACACCTGATATACCAGACCCTCTAAGACCACTGCTTGCTTGCTACCACTTCAACACTGCTGCTACCACCTCGTTACACACCTGATATACCAGACCCCTCTAAGACCACTGCTTGCTTGCTACCACTTCAACACTGCTGCTACCACCTCGTTACACACCTGATATACCAGACCCTCTAAGACCACTACTTCCATGCTACCACTTCCACACTGCTGCTACCACCTCGTTAAACACCTGATATACCAGACCCTCTAAGACCACTACTTCCTTGCTACCACTTCAACACTGCTGCTACCACCGCGTTAAACACCTGATATACCAGGCCCCTCTAAGACCACTGCTTCCTTGCTACCACTTCAACACTGCTGCTACCACCTCGTTAAACACCTGATATACCAGGCCCTCTAAGACCACTACTTCCATGCTACCACTTCAACACTGCTGCTACCACCTCGTTACACACCTGATATACCAGACCCTCTAAGACCACTGCTTCCACACTACCACTTCAACACTGCTGCTACCACCTCGTTACACACCTGATATACCAGGCCCTCTAAGACCACTGATTCCATGCTACCACTTCAACACTGCTGCTACCACCTCATTACACACCTGATATACCAGACCCCTCTAAGACCACTGCTTCCTTGCTACCACTTCAACACTGCTGCTACCACCTCGTTACACACCTGATATACCAGACCCCTCTAAGACCACTGCTTCCTTGCTACCACTTCAACACTGCTACTACCACCTCTTTACATAAACATAAAACATAAACGCTAGATAATAACCAGTCTCGATTAGCCGCTAACACAGATTCTATTTGGCATAAAAGGCAAAATAACAGTGAAAATTATATCAATGGATCTCTGAAAATCAGTGATGACACCAGGTGTTCCCGAAAATGGTAATCATGTCCCGTCCTATGGGTAGCGCCCGCCACACACAATTTGCACAATAGGTGAGTGATTGTGTGTTGCCTTACCTGCACAACAGTACTCTCGACCCGAGAGTAAACCCGACAAGGGGAGACAACTCCAATCTTCACTTCGAGAACTTGTGTTGAAGTCTTGGAAGAGACAAACCTAAATCTCTTTAAAATCAGATCTGGTAATGTTTTTGTTCCTTTTACAAATGCTTAATCCAGAACTTTGTCAACATTTTTCAAGCGTAGTCAGAAATGGAAGTGGCCATTTAGAAACCATTGCCGTAAAGCTCTCTCGAGAGCTGATTTCTGATTGGGTAATGTCGATTTCTTGTTTGTTATTAATTTGGTTGGTCAACGTGTGGTCGTTCTGACCCATAATGGGATGTCCCCAGATCTTTGTTTAGCGGTAGTCAGAACTAAGATCTGATTGTAATGAGATTGAGAGAAAACGACATGTCGATTGTGTGGCATATATCCGTCAAAATTCCTCAGGTATGAGACATGAACACCCGAGTCGCTGCTTTCGACCCGTAATATCCCTAGTACATACGCAGTGGACAGGGTCTCGTAAAGTTACCGAGTGAAAATAAACATCTGATGCATCAAGGGGCCACGGGTGGCCAAGTCGCTGTGCAGAGTTGCATCCCTTTGGCACACCAGAAACCTATGATTGTGGGTTCGAATCCCGGTTCGCCCCGATATATCTAAGTTTGTCAGCACCATACCCGTGCTCGTGGGGTTCACCGAAGTGGTAAACGTCTGAGACCTGCATCACTTTGGGCTTTCCTCCCACTTTAAGCTGACGCGCCTTGATAGAACTGGAATACTATTAAAAGCGGTGTTAAACCCAACTCAATCACTCACTCTGATGCATCAAAACGATCTCCATGTTACAGGTGACCTTGACCTTGACGTGTTCGTGGAGTACGTGAAGCAGCAGACTCCGATAGTCCAGGGGGAGGAGGAACGCATGATGTTCGTCAACTCCTACCCCCCTTGTCCCCCTACCGCAGCTGGGATGTCTCTCCACACGGTCACCACAGCCCTCGGTTTACCATTGAGTTTATGCCTGTTTATGATGTCACGCGTGTGATGATGTGGTTACGGTTGTGTACATTTTTACTGATTGTTTTTCATTTGTTACAATGTACAAGAATAAGAATAAATGGAAAATACTCTGATTGTATTGTTTTCTTTCAATGGCCAAACAACATCTTTAAAGCACTTTGTGTTTCCATATACTTGTTTACATCCCATAGTACGGGTTGGTTGGCTCAGTCATGCTGTGCTGAGTTGCGTCCCTTAGGTGTGCCAGCAACCAATGATCATGGTTTCGAACTCCAGATTCGCCCTGATTTATCACGAGAAAGGCCCAGACAGGGAATGATGAGTGAGAGATAAGAGAGGCACGCCCTACTCCGCTTATATACAGCCTAACTGGCTACTGGAAATTTCCACACAGTGCAATCACAACATATAGAATATTCAACATGTTTCTATAACGCTCTATCTCAATCCGCGGTATTCCAGAAGTTTAAACATAACACTAGCATCTAAAGATTGTAACTCCCTCAAAACTGCTTACACCAAACAGTACTTCATTCCTGACTACTAATCACTGTCCAAACACAATGCAGTGAGCTTCTACCGAATCTCAACAGAAACAATGTAATACAGTTACAATCATCGTTTAACAATAAATACAGTCTGCCATATAACACACACACACACACACACACACACACACACACACAGATGTATATATGAATATTTTGGACCGCGATCAGTGGGTTCAAATGTCTACAAACTTTTTCTATGCGAAGGTCTTGACCCACTGTGTCCAATCAAGTCATGCCTCTACGAGCACCAGAACCAAGTGACAATCATTGTCCAATAGTTGATTTAATCTATGAATAGCGAACTGAGGTCAAAGCGGTGCACCGCTTTACCGGAGTCACGGTAGTATACATGAAGTCTGCACCGCTTTATCGGAGTCACCGTTGTCCAGATAGTTCAGACTGACGCAATGTTATGGACGGATTTGACCAGACCTGGAACGTTCAAAACGGTGCCACAGATGACACATGATGCAATCTGGGCTACGTTTCTGCGACTTGACCAAAGGCTGTCGGTCTTCAACTCCGGTCTTGGGACCAAGTTTCGGCAGCTGCGACCATGAACGTGGCGCGAAAATGACATTCACTTTGACCGTAGCGGAATATTAAAGAAAAACATGGCCGAATGAGGAACTGACAGTAGTGTTTGACTGCAGTAATATACACGATTAATTTGATGGTTAGATATGTTCTTTTTTCAGCTGTCTGTCTCAACAATAAATTCTATTTTATGAAAGATTCCTCCCCGGAAGTGGCACAATATCGAGTATCCTTGATACCATTGTTTGGGGCTGTCAACAGGATCGTGATTGCGGTTATGTGTTTTCATGACCGCATCGCGAAAACGCTAAACCACGTTTCTGGTCATGACCATTCTTTCTGATCAAGCCCACGAAAACGGCTCCCTGTTTGCTCGAATAAACATATATTCACCCTGATCACGAGACACTTTTTGCATAGAAGTACATTTACCTGTGAGTGAATATACCTTTGTTTGACCTCTTCCGGCCATGCACATTTACAAAAGGAGTATCTATTCACATATGAAAATGCGTTCACGTGACAAAACTGCTGACCTTAAGTAAATTTACTTGTATTATATCAATACTCACACGAGTAAAGGTCTACATGTGAATAGGTCTTTATAGACACCTCATTATTAGGTGACATTTTATACCCAGCTGCCGGGGAGTGGGGAAGCCTAGTTGTTAAAGCGTTCACTCGTCACGCTGAAGGCTTAGGTTCGCTTTCCCACATGGGTACAATGTGTGAAGCCCATTTCTGGAGTCCCCCACCGTGGGATAGATAACACAAATATACAATATTCATTCGAAAATAACCAGACATGATAGTCATAAATATTGTGAGGTGCACACAACTCCCAAAATGTTTAACAGGGTTTGTAATTTGTGTTTTTAATTATTTTTTAATTTGGCAATCTGGCGTCAATCTTCAGTCCAATCACGGTTATATAGGTCCGTGGTCCAATTAACCACCAATACACTTTAACTCTTCGAAGAAAACGGGTTTTTTTTTATCAGGTTTATACAAAATCACATTACTCATATTCACGTTTCAACGCTTCCCAGGGTCCTGAGCTTACTTGTCTCACATTCGCATACATATATCTTGTACATGTTCATGTGCCTTTCACGTCTTTTGCGCGCCTCCGTCCGACAGATGCCGATGATAACCGGATAAGGACGAGTTGTTCTGAATGTTCAAGCTCCTCGCAGCGATAGCCGGTCGGCGGAGCTCTCTATTCTGAGAGTGTAACGAAGGTGTCACGCGCTGGGAAGGAGCTTGGAGCTTGATATGATAGGGGACGTAACTCTGAATCTATTTCCCGTCAAGTAGGGAGCGCCAAAACAAATCAGCGGCACATGTGATATATTTTGTTTATAAACTATGGAGGACGGCCGCAGTACTGCATACAGCATCCCCTGTCACGATGTGGTTCAGTGTGTGGAATTCTCACCCTTCGAGTGGAGCTCGCAGTTACTAGCCGTCGCCACTTCAACTCGAATTTCAATCTTCACTTGTCGATTTCAGGTTATCACATTATTGCTTATTTATATCTCTGAGTATCCTAAGTTCGTGACCGTAAACATAAACCGCGAACTAGACAAATATTTTACTATGTCTATGTTTAGGGCAGATATGAAGTCGAAGAGATATATCCCAATTTACTGAGATGATATTGTTATTACCACAGGACCATATGGAACTAATAATAATAACAAGAGAACTCGCAGACGACCGAGAAAGTATACATCAAATAAAATCAATGCTTTGTGTTGAGTGAATCCCGTCGGATATTGTCGAGTACCCTATTTTCAAACAGCCCTATTTGATTGTGATCTTTGCGTTATAACGAGAGGTGTTATGTCATCAAAGCTGCCGACATGAGAATACACACGTTCAGCCTGTGAAGGGTTCATGTGAAGTACTGTGCACCTGTCAGAACATTCCGTCATTAATAATTGTGGCGTCTGAGTCACGACGAAAAGAAATGACAAGTATTCATATTTTGTGAATAAGTTTCAAACGTTTCAATTACTTTTTGAGTTTTAATGTGACGCTTGTGTATGTGTCAGGGTAGTGTTTGTCATCCTGGACATCTCCAGGCTTAGCACTTCGGTAAACTAACACTAACCCCTGGAGCCACACCTTTGGTTCTGTTGATCTCATATTTTCAGCCATTGATTACTTTTGCTATGTTTTTTCAGTCAATTGATCACTGTTGAGCCATGGAGATGTAGAGGATGAGAGTATATGTGATGGTTGTGTATATGGCGACAACAGGTGGAGTATGGGTCATGTGATGGTTGTGTAAATGGCGACAAGAAGTGGAGTATGGGTCATGTGACGGTTGTGTGTATGGTGACAACAGGTGGAGTAAGGGTCATGTAATGGTTGTGTGTGTATATGGCGACAACAGGTGGAGTATGGGTCATGTGACGGTTGTGTATGTTTGATGCAGGAGGAGGATGCGACCGTGGATGGAGTTCAGTACTCTCAGATCCATGACTTCCAATCATCTACCAACACCACAGCGCTCGCCTGGAGCCCTTCCACTTCCCTCAGTATCCTGCCCAAGAACATCAGGTAACACATCAACAGGTCGGGGAGAACCACCGGCTGTCCGTCGACTTTAGCTGCAGCCCTCTAAGTAGCGACCATTTTGGTTTGCCAAAAGCGACTTAAACCTATGATTAGCAACCTAAATTTGTCTACTGCTCACCAGGGTGGTCGGGTAGTCTACTGGTTAAAGCGTTCACTCGTCCTGCTGAAAACTCGGGTTCGAATCCTGACATGGGTACAATATGTGAAGCCCATTTCTGGTGTCCCCAGCCTTGATATTGCTTGAATATTGCTAAAAGCAGCGTAAAACCATACTCACTCGCTACTGCTCGCCACTACCTAAAAGTAAACATAACTGGCTACAATATCTGTTTAGGACATTTGTTGTCTCCTAAAAGCTGAAGTTTGGCTCTTAAAATCCTCAAAAAAAAAAAAGAATTTTGAGGGCTATAGCTGACATAAGTCAATGACTAAGTCAGATTAGTGATATAAGAACTTTTCAAAGTGGTGTTAAATCCAACTCTTTGACTCACTCACATATTCTCTTGTATGGGGTCCAAGCAGACCTCATGTACAGCTTCCAAGTTAGAAACAGGAGATGGATGTTTCAAAATTACCCATGCTCGTGGGTTTCACCAAAGTGGTAAAAGTCTGAGACCTGCATCACTTTCGGCTTTCCTCCCACATTAAGCCCACACTCTGTGATATGTGATTTGGAATACTGTTCAAAGCGGCGTTAGACTAAACTTACTCATGCACTCACACACTCTTAGTTTTGTGCCTCAGTATGTATTTCACCATGTTCGCCCTGGGTAATTCCTTTATTTGCAGTTTTGTGTGTGCCGGGGAAGACTACAAGTTGAATCTTTTCCACTCTGATGGCAAAGATAACACCACAGAGCAGGTGAGAAACATTCAGTGCTCCCTACCTTCGTCGTGTTTATTGTGAAATAAGGGAGGGGTGGGGACACCGGTAGACAGGGGAGTCCACAATTGCAGCAGGTTTGGAAACACTCAGTGCTCCTTACCTTCGTCGTGTTTATTGTGAAATAAGGGAGGGATGTGGACACCAGTAGACAGGGGAGTCCACAATTGCAGCAGGTTTGGAAACACTCAGTGCTCCTTACCTTTGTCGTGTTTATTGTGAAATAAGGGAGGGGTGTGGACACCGGTAGACAGGGGAGTCCACAATTGCAGCAGGTTTGGAAACACTCAGTGCTCCTTACCTTCGTCATGTTTATTGTGAAATAAGGGAGGGGTGTGGACACCAGTAGACAGGGGAGTTCACAATTGCAGCAGGTTTGGAAACACTCAGTGCTCCTTACCTTCGTCATGTTTATTGTGAAATAAGGGAGGGGTGTGGACACCAGTAGACAGGGGAGTTCACAATTGCAGCAGGTGGGAAACACTCAGCGCTCCTTACCTTCGTCATGTTTATTGTGAAATAAGGGAGGGGTGTGGACACCAGTAGACAGGGGAGTTCACAATTGCAGCAGGTGGGAAACACTCAGCGCTCCTTACCTTCGTCATGTTTATTGTGAAATAAGGGAGGGGTGTGGACACCAGTAGACAGGGGAGTTCACAATTGCAGCAGGTGGGAAACACTCAGCGCTCCTTACCTTCGTCATGTTTATTGTGAAATAAGGGAGGGGTGTGGACACCAGTAGACAGGGGAGTTCACAATTGCAGCAGGTGGGAAACACTCAGTGCTCCTTACCTTCGTCATGTTTATTGTGAAATAAGGGAGGGGTGTGGACACCAGTAGACAGGGGAGTTCACAATTGCAGCAGGTGGGAAACACTCAGCGCTCTTTACCGTTATTGTGAAATAAGGAAGGAGTGTATAAACTGGTAAGCAGGGCATTGGTTGGCATCAATGGTTGCAGAGTGTGCCACCCTTGCCAAACTAAGGTGGAATAATGTAGTTGTATTTTGGCTGGACTAATGAGTCTATGTATCATGATGCATAATCCAATTAAAATTGCTAACGAAATTGACATCCGGTTCATAAACAACATGGCGACTGTCGTGCAGATTTCTGTCAATTTCAGGATTTGCAGAGCATCTGTACTATAATGGCATCAACAGATACTTTCCAAATCTAATCATGTTCAAATTGGTCAGTAGGAGGGACATAGAAGGGACATAACTCGTAATAGCCACTGTTAGCGCTACAGTCGAGCCACAAAATTCCAGCCTAGTTCGGCAAGGTTGGAAACTAGACTTTTATAGTCAGCTACCTCCCATGCCTTGGGAAGATGGTGGACCAGTTGAATACAAGTGAACCTGCACAAGTCAAATCTGCTTGTTTGCTGGCATTCTCTCTGTATCATGGTACATATATATCATGACCCCACTAGTATCTTAATTCGTGTTATTACCTCAGGAGAAATAATCCATCCTTCTTGGTAGTTGTTATGTTATTGTCTTATTCTTCTAGAGACTAGGGTTTTTTTAGTGTGATTTTATTTTCAAACTGTTGCCAAGATGTCTTTCAATTTACAGACATATTGTGGTCATAATGACTTTGTCAATGCTGTGACCTTTGACCCTGGGGATGGGTCAAAGTTTGCCAGTACCAGTGATGACCTGACATGCCGAATATGGTCAACAGAGGGTCAACAGTTGCTGGTGTTCCAGCTGACGTCGCCGGGCATGAGTGTGTGCTGGCACTCCGAGGAGCCGCTCAAGGTAAGACAAGGCATCAAGTCAAATCAGAGGCAAAATGATTTTTTTCAGTGTTTCTTAAGAAAGAGTGTGGCTATGTCACCTAATACATACCAGATGCACTTATCTCAGAGCTACAGTTAAGCTGTGTATTTGCGTAAAATACCCCCCAAAAATATTCAAAACCCAATTACTTTCAATTAACTTTTGTACAGAAACACATGCATTAAATAAAAAACTCAAATGTATAAAAACAGCATGCGTAAATACCCAGTGAAGCTATTTCAGCATGCGTTCAAAGGAGCTAATTTCCGAAACACAATTATGAGCTAATTTACTTTCCGAGTCAAGCCTATATCATGTATATATTTAGAACAGTTATATACATCTAAAACTTTATTTCATTATTTAATTTTTTTTAAAATCTTAAAATGTTCACTAATTTGGGGAAAAACCCAATTGAGTGATGAATAGATGAATGAAATATTGGTTACCCAATGAAAAATGTAGTAACCCAAATAAAATAGAAACCCTAGAGTAAAAACTCAATTGTATAAAAAGTTATCTGGAGCTCTGCATATCTACTGTCGTGCCAGATTCCTAATTTACCTATGGCATATTGGGTGGGGGAACATGATAAATACATCACACCTTTTTATACCTGACTTGTTTTATTCTGTGCAACGGCATTTCAGAGCTATTTCTTGACCCTTCATCATTCATCAAGTGAATCCTACACAAGCATATAGTTATATATGTACACATGATCATTGATGATGATATTTTTACACAAGGTAGGAGAAACAAACAAAATAACAATATAATGTATGCAATATTAGAGCTATATGACGGTGGTCTGTAAATAATCGGGTCTGGATTTTGCGTGATATTGTGCTGACTGAAGTTAATTCATAACTTGTGTGGGAGCCTCAACAGTAATGGCTCAGATTGTTCAATATGTAAAAATAAATCGGCAATAGTGATCATCTGTACAAAAGTGCTTCGCTTATGGTTATTTTTATTTTAAATTTATATAGTAAAGTTGTAACTAAAATAAAATGATACTTGAATATATTATTCCTGCGAAAACAATAGTTTCAAACAATTCTTCCGATCATTGCTTCAAAATTCTTTGGAGTTATGTTATCAGGTCATTCTAACAGAATCACTGGTAGATTATGAGAAAAAGTGTGTATAGCTGATTGTTGCTTCCGGCAAATTTTACAAGAAAATACAACCGGTAATCTTAATCTTTGTATATTAAACAATGCCTAGCAGAAAAGGAAATACAATTTAAACGGTAAATCATAATGTCTAGAGATGTGTTTTATCTTAAATTTCAAATTTGTATTGTCCAAGTTTGTAATCACCTGCTTGTTTACCTGTATTCGCTGAAGGAAGACGATGGGATATTTTTCTGTGCATAATACTCAAACATTTTTTCCAAAATACTTAAGCACCTAGAGGGGGGGGGTGCATTATACTTGGGTGTACACTAGGGCTGGGACGGGTAACTCAGGTATTGTGTCAGGGGGTTCGTAAGAAGGACCCGGGTACCCAAGGGACTACCCGGGCCCGTGGTTAGTCATGTGATATATTGTTTAATGACCAAAACTCACTATAGCTCAGTGGTTACTCTACAAGTCGCTAATGTTCGCATTTCTCTCTGACAATGCACTCATTCCTTTTGACTTCAATATGTTTGAGTAAAGATAAAGCTTCAGTCAACTTCAGGGGATCAGGGTGGCCCAGTCGTCTAAGGCACTGCGATTCGCTGTGCAGAGTTGCGTCCCTTGGGCACGCCAGAAACCTATGATTGTGGGTTCGAATCCCGGTTCGCCCCGATTATGTTTCTAGGTTTGTCAGCACCATACCTGTGCTCGTGGGTTTCACCGAAGTGGTAAACGTCTGGGACCTTCATCACTTTGGGCTTTCCTCCCACATTAAGCTGACACGCCGCGATATAACTGGAATACTGTTAAAAGCGGTGTTAATCCTAACTCACTCACTCAGTCAACTTCAGTGAACGTATGATCTGATCGTTTGATACATGTATCTAAATACTTTTTGCCAGGGCTGTGGTAAAACAATTCCCAATCAGACATTCATTTTGTTCCCACATTTTGAGACAACAGCGGGTACCCGGGTAGGGTTGGGTAATATGGGGTCGGGTACCTGGGTAGTAAATTTGGACTCGTCCCAACCCAAGTGTGCACCCTACTGAAGCAAATATGGTATTTTTGTTGAATTTGATTAGAAATGAATCGATACAACTAAAATATGTACACAATAGGACAAGCGTTTGTTCAATACTTTCTCGGCTGCACATGCCTTCACTCGTCAATACATACGGATGCGTAGATTTTTCGATCCCTTGTGTGTAAACTCAGAGATGCCTAAGTGTAGTCATAGCGATTGAGTCTTCCAGGTTTTTCTGCGTCCACATCAAGTTCTGAATATTTCAGATTTTAGTTGGACAGAAGAATGGAGTGATTCGGATTTTCAGTCTAACGAACCAGCAACCAATCATGAGTCTAAGTTGTGGTCAGGTGCCCTCGCTGGCTGCCGATTGGTCAAGACACAGCAGTCTTCAGGTGGGGGCCATTGCAGGGACAGACTGGCTCATCTTTGATACATCAGTCTCCAGGTGAGTTGTCTCTACCTGCAGTTTGTTGCCATGGTTACAGTCAGATATACCATGAAACAAAATGCTAAGTGATTACATAATATGATTAGAAAGAGCCTAACTTGAACAGCCAAGTAAGATAATCACACACGACACACACATCACACATGACATCACACACGTCACACACGACACTGGTTGATAGGAACAACCTCTGTAAGTCTGTCCTATTAGAACATCTTGGAGTCTCTATGTGTGGTGTATTGGGTTAACTAGGGGTACATGTGGTGTATTGGGTTATCTAGGGGTACATGTGGTGTATTGGGTTAACTAGTTGTATATGTGGAGTATTGGGTTAACTAGGGGTATATTAGGGGTATTGGGTTAACTAGGGGTATATTAGGGGTATTGGGTTAACTAGGGGTATATTAGGAGTATTGGGTTAACTAGGGGTATATTAGGGGTATTGGGTTAACTAGGGGTATATTAGGAGTATTGGGTTAACTAGGGGTATATTAGGGGTATTGGGTTAACTAGGGGTATATTAGGGGTATTGGGTTAACTAGGGGTATATTAGGAGTATTGGGTTAACTAGGGGTATATTAGGAGTATTGGGTTAACTAGGGGTATATTAGGAGTATTGGGTTAACTAGGGGTATATTAGGAGTATTGGGTTAACTAAGGGGTATATTAGGAGTATTGGGTTAACTAGGGTATATTAGGAGTATTGGGTTAACTAGGGGTATTGGGTTAACTAAGGGGTATATTAGGAGTATTGGGTTAACTAAGGGGTATATTAGGAGTATTGGGTTAACTAGGGGTATTGGGTTAACAAGGGGTATATGTGGAGTATTGGGTTAACTTGTTGTAGACCGCCTCCGTGGTCTAGTGGAAGAGTGTTCCCCCGGAGAGCGGAAGGTCCGGGGTTCGATTCCCGGCCGCGTTATACCAAAAGACGTTAAAAGATGGTACTTGTTACCCTGTCAGGCGCTCAGCATTAAGGGGCTAAAACAAGGACTGGTCGGCTCGGAGTCAGTATACTGTGTCTGAGTGGGGTATTCTTGTTAAACTGCGGCATGGTATCTCAGTGAGCTAGCACTATAAATCGGCATTAGTCCGGACTAGTACAAGCACCCTCACACATACATACATGTGCATGCACGTCGCTATATAAGTGCAATAATCTTGGACGCGACGTTAAACCCCATTTCACCTCACCTCACCTAACTAGTTGTATATGTGGGGTATTGGGTTAACTAGTTGTATATGTGGTGTATTGGGTTAACTTGTTGTATATGTGGGGTATTGGGTTAACTAGTTGTATATGTTGGGTTTTGTGTTAACTAGGGTTATATGTTGGGTATTTGGTCAACTAGGGGTATATGTGGAGTATTGGGTTAACTAGGGGTATGTGTTTGGTATTTGGTTAACTAGGGGTATATGTTGAGTATTGGGTTAACTAGGGGTATGTGTTTGGTATTTGGTTAACCAGGGGTAAATGTGGTGTATTGTGTTAACTAGGGGTATATGTGGAGTATTTGGTGAAATGGGGGTATATGTGGAGTATTGGGTTAACTAGGGGTATATGTTGGGTATTAGGTCAACTAGGGTATATGTGGAGTATTGGGTTAACTAGGGGTATGTGTTTGGTATTTGGTTAACTAGGGGTAAATGTGGTGTATTGTGTTAACTAGGGGTATATGTGGAGTATTGGGTGAAATGGGGGTATATGTGGAGTATTGGGTTAACTAGGGGTATATGTTGGGTATTAGGTCAACTAGGGTATATGTGGAGTATTGGGTTAACTAGGGGTATGTGTTTGGTATTAGGTTAACTAGGGTTTTATGTGGGGTATTGGGTTAACTGAGGGTATATGTGGGGTATTTCGTTATGTAGGGGTAGATGTGAGGTATTGGGTTAACTAGGGGTATATGTTGGGTATTGGGTCAACTAGGGGTATATGTGGAGTATTGGGTTAACTAGGGGTAGATGTGGAGTATTGGGTTTAATAGGGGTATATGTGGAGTATTGGGTTAACTAGGGGTATATGTGGGGTATTGGGTTAACTAGGGGTATATGTGGAGTATTGGGTTAACTGAGGGTATATTTGGGTATTGGGTTAACTAGGGGTTCATGTGGAGTATTGATTTAACTAGGGGTATATGTGGAGTATTGGGTTAAATGGGGGTATATGTGGGGTATTGGGTTAACTAGGGATATATGTTGGATTTTGTCTTGAGTTAACTCAATCTCATTAAAATCAGATCTTAGTTCTCGCTGCCGCCAAACAAAGATCTGAGGACATCCCGTTACAGGTCACGTCAGAACGACCTTTCGCGAACTTTGACCAACCACTGAAATGACTAACAAGAAGTCAACATCAGCCAATTAGAAAGCATCTTTCTTGAGGTTTACGGCACTCGTTTCAACTTGGCGACTTCCATTTCAGACTACGCTTGAAAGATATGATGACACAGTTCTCAATTAAAATTTTGAAAACTGAACAAACGAACATTCCGGAATGTCTAATATATGGTTGAGATTGTATGGCAGTGCTTCCCACGTACTGTGGATAGCCTTCTCCGTACAAATGTTTATCCCATGGAAGTGAGAGATAGACGATAATTTTGATGGAATCAGTCGTACGGGCCGTAACTGTCGTTCAGAATACCTCGTAAACAGTTTCGAGTTTGCATTATTAAAAAAGATGATCTGGTAAGCGACGCTTTGAATGGTCGGATGAAAGGTCGTTCTGACGTGACCTGTAATGGGATGTCCTCAGATCTTTGTTTAGCGATAGCGAGAACTAAGATCTGATTTTAATGAGATTGGAGTTAACTGGAGGTATTTTTGGGTTGTAGGGTCTTGGGTTAACCAGGGGTGTATGTTGGGTGTAGGGTCTTGGGTTAACTGGGGGTATATGTGGGGTGTAGGGTCTTGGGTTAACTAGGGGTATATGTGGGGTGTAGGGTCTTGGGTTAACTGGGGGTATATGTGGGGTGTAGGGTCTTGGGTTAACTAGGGGTATATGTGGAGTGTAGGGCATGGGTTAACTAGGGGTATATGTGGGGTGTAGGGTCTTGGGTTAACTAGGGGTGTATGTGGGGTGTAGGGTCTTGGGTTAACTAGGGGTGTATGTGGGGTGTAGGGTCTTGGGTTAACTAGGGGTATATGTGGGGTGTAGGGTCTTGGGTTAACTAGGGGTATATGTGGGGTGTAGAGTCTTGGGTTAACTGGGGGTATATGTGGGGTGTAGGGTCTTGGGTTAACTAGGGGTATATGTGGGGTGTAGGGTCTTGGGTTAACTAGGGGTGTATGTGGGGTGTAGGGTCTTGGGTTAAGTAGGGGTATATGTGGAGTGTAGGGGCATGGGTTAACTAGGGGTGTATGTGGAGTGCAGGGGCATGGGTTGACTAGGGGTGTATGTGGAGTGTAGGGGCATGGGTTAACTAGGGGTGTATGTGGAGTGTAGGGGCATGGGTTAACTAGGGGTGTATGTGGGGTGTAGGGTCTTGGGTTAACTAGGGGTGTATGTGGGGTGTAGGGTCTTGGGTTAACTAGGGGTATATGTGGGGTGTAGAGTCTTGGGTTAACTAGGGGTATATGTGGGGTGTAGGGTCTTAGGTTAACTGGGGGTATATGTGGGGTGTGTGGTCTTGGGTTAACTAGGGGTGTATGTGGGGTGTAGGGTTAACTAGGGGTATATGTTGGGTGTAGGGTGTTGTACAAGTGGTTCCAGTTCTGTTGCAGTCAACCCATTGAGAAGCGCCAGGCTCACATAGAGGGAACAAAGTACTTCAAGTTTGCTCGATGTCACCAGAGTCTCCTAGCAACCATTGGTCGTCCTGGGCGACAAGTCAAAGTCTTCAACACTCGACATCAACAGGTTTGTCAAGCTAATGTAAAACAAACCAGAAATACTCTTATTCCCTGGCAATAGTATCTTCTATTGAGTGCAAGACTACAATAGCCACATCCGACTTTCCTAAAGATCCAGTGACACTGAATCAGGAACTGGTTATTAGATGCTCCTAGCTGACTGGTACTTAAGCCATCTCAGTAAGGGTATTATTTGTTTAATGCCACAGTCTGTAAATAACAAAGTCTATTGAAGCATCGGTCTGCACAACTGAGATACGATGACATGCATCAGCCAAGACAGCACGTCGGACCACCCAATCCTCGTATTGTTGAGGGGCAGTTGGGTAGCCTAGTGGGTAAAGCGTTAGCTTGTCACCCCAATGACCCGTGTTTGATTTCCGACATGGGTACAATAGTTGAAGCCCATTTCTGGTGTCCCTTGCCGTGATATTGCTGGAATATTGCTAAAAGCGGCGTAAAACTATACTCTCACTCACTCTTATTGTTGAGTTTTCTGTGATGCAGATGACATGGGGATGCCACAAATTGTGCATCTAATTTGGGGGAATACTGTTTTACCAATTCCTATTTTGTTGAATGTTTATGATAATGTTTTTATATTTGTGATATGTTGAATGTTTATTCAATATCTCATGTAGTGATGTTTCTGTTTGCAGCTCCATGTGAACGCCAGCCTGCAGGTGGCATACGGCCTGACCTGGCACCACACCCTGCCTATCATCGCCGTCGGGGGGGACAAGAAGGTGCATCTGTGGGTAGTGGAGTCTGCATGAGGCCGTGACACACCATACACACAGACAGTACGATCACCAGGGTGACAGGGGGATGCAGCTTTATCAGGCGGATGCAAGTTACATCCATACCCATACTGATCGGGGAATCTCTCTTGTGGCATCCTGTGACAGAAGCAGGGGTTGACACGAGTGACTGATCCACGGCTCATTTCAGAATGGTGTTGACATGATTCGATTTGGAAGAAAACATGTTGTCATTCCAGATTGTCACCCGTCTCTGGACAACATGCTGAAGGTCATGTCGGACTCTGACAGGGACTCTGTTGAGCCTCGACTCTCTGTGGACAGGCTTAGGACATCTTCCCGAGACATGGAAGTTAACTGACTTGAAGTCAAGTTTCCACCCTTGCTGAACAAGGCTGGAACTTCTGGGCTCGATCAATGAGTAGTGTCCCTTCTATGTTCCCCATACTGACCAAAGATTGCTTTATGCACCCAGTCAAGAAGATCTTATCAATAATAAATATCCTTATTGTATTGAAACAGGTTTTACCTTGTGAAGTGCATCACCTGAGCACCTCGATTAAAAACAAGAAAAGATCTGACGCCCAACTGACAGTATACATGCTCTGCTAATTCTGCAATTGAATTAATTCAGCATAGCAGTTGCCTGGAGTCAATATCACAACTTGATTTTGATTGGACTATGCATAGACTCGCTCGTCCAGACAAATTATTCCAGCCTAGTTTGGAAAGGGTAGAAACTTGACTTTTAAACTCCCTTGCCTTGGGAAGATGGGCTTGGGAGGATTTTATGTATTGTGCCCCATTCTCATAACAGGCAACTGAGTAATCCTGAATATTGTATAAGAAGCTCCTCCCTCTGATGTCACCTACGTTGTATATAGCTGGAATAAAGTTGGATTCTTATGACAAGGGTTGTTTTGTAAATATGTGGAAGTGAGGTAGTTTCCACTTTTAGAAAAGTAAACATAGCAAGTGTTCAGTCTTTACTCTGTATCTTTAGGACAGAAAGGTGTAATTCTGGGGAAAGCATGTTTATCGTACAAACCAAGACAGTTTCATAGATCAGGCCTACCAAAAGAATACTACCGGTAATATGTGCTCAAAAACACAGAAATGTGTATGCTATTTGTCTATTTTGCAAACTAAGTAGGTTTTAGTGTGCAAAGTCTACTTATATTTCAGCTGGTCAATATTTTGTGCAAAATAGCTTACACCCCTCTGTTTTTGAACACAAAGTGTTTTTTTTTAAGTAGGCCTGATATGTGATAAAACACAATTAACACTGTTTGCTTGAATTGTGATCTGTTTTGGACACGCTGATAATACTTTTACTGGTGCTTGAGGCATTCACAGTCAAGTACTCTAAAAACATCAAGTTCTATTTAATGACTGTAGAAAATGTATGTATTTTACTATACAGCTACATTTCAATGTATGGTGGATTTTAATATAATTTATATGTTTTAAGGAGTGTCTCAAAGGCCTTGATCAGATTGAAGATCATGCAGATTTGCAAAGCATGTGCTCTGCCAACTCGTTGTCAGCAGATATTTTCCATGTTTTTAATCAAGGTGCTCAAGTGATTTGATGTATTTCCAATGTAAGACCCTTTTTATCACAATAAGATCTTGATTATTGATCAGATAGTCCTGACCGGGCACCGCCATTTTGTTGGAATCTGATTGGTCCATAGGAGAGGCTTAGAAGGGACATAACTGGTAATAGCCACTTGTGTCGATACGATTGAGCCCAGTAATTCCAGCCTAGTTTTGCAAGGGTGAAAACTGGACTTTTATAGTCAGTTAACAGGTTGACTATTCTCAAATTGTACTCTTATTCTAATATCCATAACCAACATGTGAATAAAGAACAAACACGCTTCTTAGCGATATATAAAGTGTATCGAGCAAAGTGTACAGGCGAATATGATCAATGTACAAATATATACACATATAGAATAACTGTGCATGATTTAATGATGATAAAATGTTGTAAACCTAAGTAAAGACATACAGTAGAGATATATTTGTAATAAATACACCATTAAACAATGTAATATATTCACAGGTATGTTTCTGGTATGTGTAACATGTAATGATATGAAAATTCATCACTAACTTGATATTCATGGCTGTTTACGCAGTGTCAAAAGTGCAATGCTGACACAAAACATTTCAGCTGGTCCACAGCAGGCTTGTCGTGTGACCTACCACAGTACACGGCAGGCTAGTCTTGTGACACTTCTTTACACAGCCAGCTGTTATCATGCTACACAACTGGCTAGTCATAGAATGCATCATACTACACAGCATGCCAGTAATGTGATCCACCATCACACACAGAAGGCTAGTAATTGGGTGCACCTTTTTACACACGCTAGTCATGTGATGCACTATGCTACACAGAAGGCTAGTTATGCGACGTACCGTGCCATACAGCAGACTAGTCATGTGATACATCATGGCTAGACAGAAGGCTAGTCATGTGATGCACCATGGCTACACAGAAGGCTAGTCATGTGATACACCATGGCTAGACAGAAGGCTAGTCATGTGATACACCATGGCTAGACAGAAGGCTAGTCATGTGATGCACTATGCTACACTATGCTAGTCATATGATGCACCATGCTACACCCAAGGTGAGTCATGTGATGCACTATGCTAGTCATGTGATGCACTATGCTAGTCATGTGATACACCATGGCTAGACAGAAGGCTAGTTATGCGACGTACCGAATGATATACAGGCTAGTCATGTGATGCACCATGCTACACAGAAGGCTAGTCATGTGATGCACCATGCTACACAGAAGGCTAGTCATGGGATGCACAATGCTACACAGGGTAGTCACGTGATGCACTATGCTAAACAGAAGGTTAGTCATGTGATGTACCATGACACAGCAGACTAGTCTTGTGATGCACCATGCTACACAGAAGGCTAGTCATGTGATGCACAATGCTACACAGAAGGCTAGTCATGTGATGCACAATGCTACACAGGGTAGTCACGTGATGCACTATGCTACACAGAAGGCTAGTCATGTGATGCACCATGCTACACAGAAGGCTAGTCATGTGATGCACCATGCTACACAGAAGGCTAGTCATGTGATGCACAATGCTACAAAGGCTAGTCACGTGATGCACCATGCTACACAGAAGGCTAGCCATATAAAGTATTAAACCCACACAGCATCTAATCTACTTCTTACCATCATTAACATTAACCTATATACAGTCCCAAGATGGAAAATGTTTTTCCCTATCAGCATCAGATCCGATTTCAGAAAGGAAATAAATTCATTCCAATTGTCACTCAGATCTTTCAAATAACAGTTCAATTTCCATCATGCTTAAAAAGGAGCAAGGAAATAGAGCAAATGTGTCAATAACAGGTCTTGAAAGCGAGATAATAGGAAAGTGGCAATGATGTGGGCTAGTCCATCGTACCCTGATGACTGACATTCTGTGAAAGGGCACAGCAACCTAGTGAATCTGTAACATAAACAACATCCCACTCTCTCAACATTATTGAATGACACCACCACGGGCTGTGCTAAACAGCACAGCCAACAGCTTACGCAAAGTGACACAGCCCACATAAATGCTGATTGTCTGCCCACAGCACAGCATGTTAAATGACAGCACCCAGGAGGCCATGCTGGCATACAGCCGTACACTTAATGGAACAGCCCACATCATGGAATAATGGGTGACATCACCCACAGAATGCTACCTTATATTTCATATCACTTCAAAATGTAATACCAGGTCAAAATATAATGCCCTGAACATTGTCACAGACCTTTATTTTAATACAACAAGTCATGGCAGCAAGGAGGCCTACAAGTAATGCCAATGGGGAATTTTCACATACAAGAAGCAAACCTACATTCGTTGTGCCAACTACTGAAGGGAATGACAGCGACGACCAGGTCTACTATGAACAATTAATACCTACCGGAGAGAATGGCATGCTACAAGCAATCCTACAAACAGTGCCTACAACAACAGGTGTGAGAATCACATACTACAATCACACCTGTCTTACAGCATACAGGGCTACAATCAATGCCGACTGTACAGTAGAAAAGTTTGCATTTAACAAGCTACATATAGTGCCTGCACAAATCCATCTTCCCGATGCAAGGGTGTTAACTGACTTTAAAAGTCAAGTTTCCACCCTTGCCGAACTAGGCTGGAATTCCTGGGCTCGATTGTAGCACTACCAGTGGCTGTTACGAGTTATGTCCCTTCTTTGCCTCTCCTATGGACCAATCAGATTCCACCTCTTGTATCACTTGCATTTGCTTCACACAAAACAGCAGCACCCAGTCAAGACAATCTGATCGATAATCAAGGTCTTTTTTGTGATAAAACGGGTCTTACATCGCAAAATGCATGAAATCCCGTGAGCACCTTGATTAAAAACATGATAAGATTTGGAAAATATCTCTTGACAAAGAGTCGGCAGTGCACATGCTTTGCAAATCCTGCAATCGCCTGAAATCTGCATGACAGCTTACGAGCCGATTTTCGATTTCGTCGCGTGATTTTGATTGGACTATGCATAGACTCGTTAGCCCAGCCAAAATGTAACTCCCTTATACCAGCCTAGTTTTGGCAAAGGTGGAAACTGGACTTTTATAGTCAGTTAACTCTCTTGCCTCGGGCAGATGACACAAATCAAAGACCAGATCTTTGCTGAAAGGTCAGCAAACTCTAGTACTGTAAATACAAAGCTGAGCTGTACCGCTCTATAAATAGTATAAAGATGATTAAAGTGGATCTAAAATAAATTAGCATACAAAAAGAGATGATAAAATATATGCTAAAAGCGTTAACATAGAATGATCTCCCTTGGAGATCCTCTCATCATGACCGATATGCCAGGAGTGTTGCAGTGTATGAAGCCTCTGTCATCCAGGATGCAGGAATGTTAGCCGAGGAATTAAGCTTGATGTGTATTCTATGAGAAGAATAAGCATGTACTTCATAAAATAATTTTCAAAATCAACAAAATAAAATAGAAATGTACAAAACGATATACTATAAAGCATCCTTGGATATAACAGTAAATAATAACAATACATTTCATAGTTGCTGTCACTACATAATGTATCGGTGAATTTTGATACATGGTGTGTTATTTAGAACACGTACAGGAATTACATCATGATTTGAAATGAGGTCATTTGACATCTGGAATCCATCAGTATGGAGATATCTCTCCATCCAGTGACAGACTTCTCTGTATCAAGGAACAGAGAAGTCTATCAAATGACAGAGGAGTCTCTCCATCCAGGAAGAGAGGAGATTCTCCATCATCTGACAGAGGAGTTTCTTCATCAAGTGACAGAGGAAACTCTCCATCCAGGAACAGAGAAGTCTCTATCAAATGACAGAGGAGTCTCTCCATACAGGAACAGAGAAGTCTCTCTATCAAATGAGAAGGAGTATCTCCATCCAGGAACAGAGAAGTCTCTCTATCAAATGATAAAGGAGTCTCTCCATACAGGAAGAGAGAAGTCTCTCTATCAAATGACAGAGGAGTCTCTCCATCCAGGAAGAGAGGAGTTTCTTCATCAAGTGACAGAGGAAACTCTCCATCCAGGAACAGAGAAGTCTCTATCAAATGACAGAGGAGTCTCTCCATCCAGGAACAGAGAAGTCTCTCTTTTAAATGACGAAGGAGTCTCTCAATCCAGAAACAGAGAAGTCTTTCTATCAAATGACAGAGGAGTCTCTCCATCCAGGAACAGAGAAGTCTCTCTTTTAAATGACGAAGGAGTCTCTCCATCCAGGAACAGAGAAGTCTCTCTGTCAAATGACAGAGGAGTCTCTCCATCCAGGAACAGAGTAGTCTCTCTGTCAAATGACAGAGGAGTCTCTCCATCCAGGAACAGAGAAGTCTTTCTATCAAATGACAGAGGAGTCTCTCCATCCAGGAACAGAGAAGTCTCTCTTTTAAATGACGAAAGAGTCTCTCAATCCAGAAACAGAGAAGTCTTTCTATCAAATGACAGAGGAGTCTCTCCATCCAGGAACAGAGAAGTCTCTCTTTTAAATGACGAAGGAGTCTCTCCATCCAGGAACAGAGAAGTCTCTCTGTCAAATGACTGAGGAGTATCTCCATCCAGAAACAGAGACGTCTTTCTGTCAAATGACAGAGGAGTCTCTGCATCAAGGGAGCCTGTACATACAGTCCCCGGCTGGGTACAGAATATGTTTTTCCTTCAGCTTAGTTAAATGACAAGCATGTATATCAAACAGATTTGGCAGGTTAATAATGTAACATAGAGAAAGGATAATGCTGTGTGATATCAGGATTAGTGTTAATATCATTGTACACATCACATAGGCATATGACCCACAATGGAATGTTGAAAGTGGCCACCGGCATGATGCTTGGACATATGTGATGTCCAGCTGGTCAGTCAGACCAGCACGCTTACAATAAAGCAGCTCTATCTAGGCAGCATCTCCAAGCGCTGGAGATATCACAGCACAAGCTTCACACCCAGGTTCCCACAGTGCTTGCGTCACAGTCTCCCAGCAGCAATGTACAGCACAGACATTTGTGAGCAGCAGATGCCACTCTCTCTTGTCTCATTTCACGCATGTTAACATTCACACTACACAGGACATCGGATACCAACAGGACCCAGGCTATAGCTGGAAATGTAAGATAAAACTTGTACCAGTTGTCAAATGTGGAGAAGTAAATTACAACCATGTTGATAAGACCTCATGAGAGTCAACACAAGCTACATTACAACCATGTGTACACCATACCCTACTGGCACAAGGTATACTTGTTTACACAAGGTCTGCATGTCAGGCGAATATCTACATTGATCCTTTCTTTTCCTGTGGAGCTATAAATGAGAACGTCATTAGCCTGGAGAAGGCTCAGTGTTGAGCTATAACATTTCAACACTGCTGTTCTGCTCCATATGCATTAGTGTATACACTGAATGAGTAAGTAGGCAGTTCCGTCTGAATATAACAGACATACATTGTTTGTGTTGAGATCCTGATATGCTTTTGTCAGGCTCATGTCCGTTATGTCTGTGAACATTGGTCTGTGTATTCTCCGGAGTTCCTACTGTGCCTCATGGCTACTGTCCCCTAGATATTGGATTACACTGGTGGGATGTTCCTCAAGCTCACACATTTGTTTCTGCCAGCAGTTTTTTGATGCGCTCAATCTCCACCTGTGTGTTGAGCCTCAGCTTTTTCTCCTCGTCCACCTCCATCATCAGCTCTCGGATCTTCTTTGTGGAAGAGGATTTGAAGCTTTCTACTTCCTGTTTGAGTCGGTCATAGTCTGCACGCATCTCAAGGTAGGTGCTTCGACTCACTGTGTTTGTTCGCAGGTCCCGCAGTTCTCGCTGCACCTCCTCCAGAATCTTGGACACGGCAGCCCCACCTGCTGACAAACAGGATAATCTTTGTAAGTTCTCCATAATTTCTACTGCCTTCATTCATAAAGAATTCAGTTAACACTAGGCATATTTTTTCATGTAAATCATCTTTATTACACCCTTGATGAAGTTATGCTATAGTTGTTGCGGTTGATTTTGAGCCATGAATTTACTGGTCATTCTGAACAAAATGTAAACTAGTAAAACCTGACGCAACAAGAGGTCATTCTGCAAAAGTATAGAGAAATTATATGCCACCCATAACATGGTTGAAGTTGGAGAAATCACCTGACCCTGCTGATTCAGGAAGTAGAATCAACAGATTCTCACGATTTCTCCATCACATAATCCACTGTACACATGGTAAAATGGGTTCAGGATGATAATCACGAGAGTCATCAAAAGATGACACATCCCCACCCGCAGTTGCAGGGGTGTCATCTGTCTGGACTGTTGGAGTACTCAGTGATGCCTAATTTGACGCGAGTGTGTAGAACTCTTGACCCCAGCAGTGATAACTCACCGGATGCCCATTGTGTAATGTAATTTCTATTTTTTAAATGACATTGTTATATTCTTGTTACAACTGCTGCTCAATAAACAGTGATGTGGAATATATAGTTGTTTGTGTCTCTATTCAAGTTGATATTTCGGCTAACCAAATTGTGCAGTGATACCATCTTACTGTTGATAGTCATTTTGGAGACTTAAATGCAAAGGTTAAATTAATGTGAGCAAAGACCACTCGCATTTTTCGCATTTCATTCACACTCGCGTTAACTTAAAGATTTACAGTATCTTTTAGTTTATAGTTATGTTCTGGACAAACACACCACAATGAACTATTTTTTTTAAAATCACTAAATAGCAGAAGGCACCATGGTTATACATGTACCAAGTTTAGGTGAAAAATCTTTCACGTATTTCAAGTTATGCTCCGGAATGAAAATACGGACGGATGGACAGACAGGACATGTAGACATTGTAGAGACGTTCTTCAAATTCAATCATTCTGACTTTTGGTGTAGGAGTAATGAAACAAATAAGATATTAACATCCATGGTTGCTGACAGGATTATGGCGTAAACAAGTGAATTGACAGGCCACGTTGTAGGTTCACCACGTGTTACCAAGGCATGTGTTGGCTAAATCATTTGAGAGCAAGATCTATAAAGATTAAGTGGACACAATTTTAGGATAACAACTTCTTTAATATATATTAGTTGTTATCCATAAAGTGTGTCTACTTCCTCATTCCCTCAACTTATAAGAAATGCCTGTCAAACAATTCTTTAAAGATTGTAAGCATATTATTCCTGTACCTTGTCCTGATGTGGCCGAGGGTTCTGGTGGGCGTGGCGGTGCTGTGTGGTGGGGTTGGTGGTTCGACTGATTGTGTGAGTGACTGGTGGACCTCTTCTCCACATCCGATATACTTGACTGACAAAACAGAAATGGTAAACATGACAGATCTGACGACTCTGACTGACTATCTAACTGATGTGCTAGAGGTGAGGTGAAATGGGATTTAAAGTCGCGTCCAAGAATATTGCACTTATATAGCGACTACATACACAAGTGTGAATGTAGCTGCTTGAACTAGTTCAGACTAATGCCGATTTTATAGTGCTAGCCCACTGAGATACCATGTCGCAGTTTCACATGAATACCCCACTCAGACACAGCATACTGACTTCGAGCCGACCAGTCCTTGTTTTAGCCCCTTAATGCCGAGTCCCAGACTGGGGAACAATAAGTACCATCTTTTAACGTCTTTTGGTATGACATGCCGGGAATTGAACCCTGGACCTTCGACTCTCCAGGCGGACGCTCTACCCCTCTACCCCCACGGAGGCGGTCTGATGTGCTAGAAGTTGCCGTTGGTTACAACAAGCAATAACATTATGCCTTGCAGTCCCAGGGTTGGATGCAAACACTTCGGCTGCCATTGCTCTAAGACGAGGTACTAGCCCTCTTGGCTGTTTGGAAATGTTCAAAAATTCCTATCAAGGTTAACACTGATTGAAAGCGAGGTAAACACTGTCATATACAACCTACTGCACTTAGTGTAATGCCTAACACCAAAACGTCCCGAGTAGGACGTACCTGCTTCTCTTTAGATGTGTGCGGAGCCCTGCTGTCATTGTGCTGTGTGTGAACTGCCTGGGGGGTGGAAGATGAAGGCAGTTCCTCAGAGTCAGGGCTGTCTGGGTTCTCCTGAAAATATATCTCAACATATCAGTCGGTCTTCCTTTCTACAGGGGTTGATTGAACAGCTGGCCCATTGGCCTGAGGCCAGTTAAAATAATAATAGGCTGGCTGAAACATAAAGTAGATGGTCCGTTTCATCCTTTCTCCTCCTGTTTAATTTTTTACATTGGATCTTCTTGGTATAATGACAGCTGGCTGCCATTTTGTAATGTTGTGCACAACAACTTCTTTATTTGCTCATATATTGCCATGAAATGAGGCAAATGAAGCCAAAACTTTATCTTAGAGTACAGGAAAAAACGTTTTAAGGGTGAAGTGTTCTAAAATTTTCAGAACCCTGTGGTACCTCCGGTACGGGTGCTTCGCAGCCTCCACCATTTAGTTGTAGGCCTCTTTGGAGAAGGGCCAGGAATTTCTAAAAGGAGCAGGCTCCGCTGGCTACATACAAACTTGTAGTTCAATCTACCCCTGTTTCTATGCCTAATGCCTACCCTGATTATCTCCACAAGGAGTCATCCCAGTTGTCCAACAGGCTGCAACACACTGTGCAGTGAGTGAGGGATTCACACATTGAACCCGTCGGGAATCGAACCTGGGTCTTCGGTATGACAAGCGAATGCTTTAACCACTAGGCTACCTGACCGCACCTACACTGTGCAGAGTTGTGACCCCTGGCAGATGCAGGATCCGCTGATTGTGGGTTTGAATCTCAGCTGATCATGATCCTTGGTCAGTCAGCACCACACCAGTGATTGTGGTCAACTGGTATGACCATTCAAGTATTCCTCTGACATCAAGCTGACATGTTAATGTAATACTGTATAAAGCAGCAATAATACAAACTGATCCACTCTTTCTCCAAGACAACACAAACAAAATAGGCCACTGACTTTCAACACAATCAAAACAGAAGCTCACCCCTAAGTTGAATATTGTCGAGGGTGGCCTCTTCTTTGGTCCTTTAGCTCGGGATGCTGTCAAGTGTGTCAGCTTCTGGGAGGTGGGCTCCAAGGACTCAAAGTTGTTTTCTGAAACAGTCAAGATGAAGGTTACACTCTCACGCTACTTACACAAGTGTAGCTGAGGGGAGACTGGCAAGTTTACATGCATCCATGGCAACCAGGAATGTGACAATGGCTACCATGATAGCATAACTATCATGTATTTACACGCCAACATGGCTACTGTGACAGACGGGCATTTGAAAGCCACCATGACAGTCAGATCTTTACATGCTACCCTGAGGTTACAAACTTACAAGTAACCATGGCAACCATATTTTCTTACTATTACTGGTCTCTTAATTCTCTGGCTAAAAATGACAAGAATGCTTTCAGAATGACAACATGCAATACAGATCAAGCAGAGAATAAAACGCTGCAAAAGTTACAAAGCCACTTGATATTGCCAGTGATGGTTGGTTGAAAGTATATTCTCAACTAAAAAGCAGAATTTCCCACTAAATGTCTAGAGCACTATTCTAGCTGCCCATGTCCCAGGAACGGTTAACAGTAGATCAGACATTGTTTCTTAGGCTGCAATCAGCAACACAAACAACTGATTACATGTAGACATGTTGCAGACATGAGTAGACATGTTGTAAACGCATCTATATCGTGTATAAGACTTATACATGACTTATACACAAGTTATATATAACATGGTGACAACCTACCTGTATCAACAAGGTCACAGTACAGGTGGTGATGTGAAAGGCAAATTATTAACATATATCAACAACATGTCCCTTCATGTTATAATCAACAGACATTATTGATCGCATGGATATGTTATTAAAGGTGCATGTTCATCCTTGCTCTGTTGCTATCTCACAATGGTTACTTTTTTCATATTCTGAGCGTACACCAAAAAATACTTCAGGGATTTATCCAGGATCTCAAACTAAGTGCCTTTGGCAGGTAAATTGGGAAGAACTGCTATTTTGGTCAAAGTTTTTTTAAGTTTTTCTTTTCCTAAATTCAGAGGTATTTTAACATTAAAATATTTTAATCAATGCAATAATGTTGAGATAAGCATTAATACCTCAATATTGTTCTATATTGATCTTGTTATCGGTAAAACAAAAATAACCTCTATAAAGCCATAACATTAGTTATAGCTACACTAGCATGACTTGGGATATGATTAATTCCAATTTGGGAATTTTTTCTGACATTGCTGCAGACTTGGGGCCAAATACTTGTATCTGCCTCTAAGCAAGTCTAGATCAGTGTAGATAAATCCCTGTACTTATTGACTGGAAAGTACAGTAAACTATCTTTATAATGAACTGGCGGATATAATGAACTTCTTGTTTGGTCCCAGCCATTCGCTGTATATATGCTGTATATATGTTTATAACAAACTACGGTTATAACAAACTAAAATTAGTGGTCCCTTTGAATTTGTTAACCTGTACTTCACTGTATTAGGTCTTCAATAGTGTGGTTCTTGTTTAATGCCGCACTCAACAATATTCCAGCTGTATAAAAACTAAATAGCAAATGATATATATATGGAGATATATACATGATATAACGGGCAGAGAAAATGAGACAACTTCAAATTCAAATTTTCTTTTGTGATCAGGTATATTAATTTGACATTTTACTGACATGTTATGGGATCATTGGTCAACTGATTTGTAATGGTCAATAGTCAGTGCACCAATTCCCTCGACACTGCTCTAAGCACAGGGGCATGGATGTGACAAGATTGTCCACAAGCTGCTGTGAAAGATCGGCCTAAGTTTGATGGATCACTTGCTTCCATTCACTAATACTTAAACCCCAATCCTCCTTAATGTATTCAAAGTCTTCTAGACAGTCACACAGGACAGTCTTGTTACCTGGCATAATTTTCGTATCAATCAGCAACCTGTTTCATATAAATCAATACAACAATATTTACTGGTTAGATCGGACATCATGGACACCTTTCTCAGTGCCGTCTGCTTGAAACGTCACCATCTGACATGGCTAGTAACAGGGGAGGTAATCAAGAAAAGAAACTGGTCGCCACAGTGCATCACACCATAGTGTTCTAAGATCAATTCAAATTTTGAAACATCTATGAGCGTCTCATTTTTTTTGCTCGTTGCTATATATACTGAGAAGGGTGTGTACACATTTGATTACAATGCGGATTATAATGGAATACAGGTGAGTGTACAAGTCTGTGGTAGTGGCTGCTAATACAAGGGCAAGCCGGGGGTGAGAGCACTGATGGGGGATGAGTAGGGCTGGTCTAGGACTCTATTAAGTCTTAATGAGATCATGAAGTCTTGGTCTTGTTTTCCTACCAATAGTGTCTCATCTCACACAGACTTGTTCTTGACTGTATTTGCATTGCATCACTTTGATTTGTAGAGAAGTTCTTTTTGCTATTGATTCCACTTAACATATGTTAGCACTGACCATGCAGATACTTTGTAGAAATTAATGACACCCCCAGAAACTAAATGAAGCAAGAGTGACCACACTCCTTGTTATACTATTCAGCAGGCTGGTATTGTAAGCAGGGTGTTATTGCCAGTCAAGCTTTCAACATTACATAATCTAGGTATTACACCTGCTGAAAATACTTCTCATGGCATAGCTAAAATCAGTACATGACAAAGCCTAAATTTTAGAATGAAAAGCTTTCTTATAAATATACAAATGTATTAATTTTGCAGTGCAGTAAATCTTGAACCAGCTGAACCTCCTCCAACATAAAACAATACCATGTTCAGGAGTGAGCGGAACCTACATTTCTTTGCTTAGGCTTAAAAGAATAATAGAATTGGTTCAGGGAATGGATTTTCAAATTACTACGTGGACGGGGGGTGCTTTTTGTTTGTTGTTGTTTGTTTTTGGTTTTGGTTTGTTTTTTTTGGGGGGGGGGGGGTTGTTGTTGTTCAAGCTGGTATGTAAGCAAATTTTGTTTACAATAATTTCGGGGAAATCATGTTGTTCTCAGATATTGTAGCATTTATCTGCCGGGGTCATGTGTTCGGGAAGCAGAATATTTAAAGATTATTTTTGGGAGGTGAAAATGGAACTAAAAATGAAAGGTGCGCCAGACTTTATGATGATGATGCCTGAGAACCAAGACTATTATTTTTTTTAACCTTACTTCCCCAACCAGAGAGACAGTTGGCTAGTTACTGAGTATATTGTTAGGCTCTATGTTCCAAAATATCCCCAATATATAACAGCAGGCTACACTGCACTCCCGCATTGAGAAGATAAACCAGTGGCTGATGCACACACTCATTAACACCATTCACAAAACACACAGTTTGAGTCAATTTTGCCACTGAGGATTGTAATGTAGTCTGTCTCCTAGACCCAAGAATAAATTAAATATCAACCCAAATCAAGTCTAGATTGATTTAGCAAGTCTAGATTGCCTCAGCTCCTAGCCAAAATTAAGCATTGATCTGGGCTCCATTTGGATGTCTTATTTTATAACCATATATATTTTAAATGTGAAAACTTTATTTCTGGGAATAAATGATAGTCTTATTTTGTTACTATATACCGAGACCTGCCAGGTCACATCTCAGATGAGATGACATTGAGTGCGTGAGTGAGTATGGTTTTACGCCGCTTTTAGCAATATTCCAGCAATATCACGGCGGGGGACACCAGAAATAGGCTTTAACACATTGTACCCATGTCGGGAATCGAACCCGGGTCTTCTGCGTGACGAGCGAACGCTTTAACCACTAGGCTACCTGACCGCCCCAGATGACATTGAGATGACAGGCACAGGATAATGAAGACCAATTAAGGGCACCTGAATACTCTTTCCACTTAAATTGATTAAACACAGCTTCAGAGGATAACATTCCTGAAACATATTATTGAATTAAGAGTCCTACTTTTTTAAATACATTGAATTCTCAACCCCAGCATGCCTACATGAAACACATGCAGCTATATGGTATCCTCAAATATACACACACCACATGTTTACTGGAGACCATCATTAACACAACATCCACATACTAGCTCACCTGCTTCTCCTGGGCACAGCGGAATGCAAAGGAAAACAAATTTTACATAAAAAACTTAATCCAGGACATGGTGCCATAAAGCTGTGATAGCACTTCGACTAATTCGACTTATCAGGACTTAACATAGTCAGGTACGACAGATCTGTCATCAAGCTAACATTGTGGTCTGCAAACTTAGTGTGCCAAGCCCGTGTCTAGTAAAATCCTGTTCAGTCTAATAAGTTCAGCTCACAACTTAGTGGTTAACATTCAAAGTCACATTAAGTTCATTTTCTAGGACTGTTTGTCAACAAAAATGTCCTAAAGACCGAATTTGGTCATGATATAAGAATGTCCCATCAAAAGTTGATAAAATCATGAAAGTGTCCAATTGCCATTTGTCTCCAGCAAAATTACTGAACATTGCACTTTAAGCGCCCAGGGCGCTCTCAAAATTAGAAATAGGGGGCTCTTATTAGAATATTATTTTGGTGGAAAAAACAGAGTTGAAAGATAAATTTCGTGGTTTATGCTGACGGCCTGACTGTTTATATACGACAGATATATTTTTCCAGAATTTAATTGCCCATAATTAAGAGTGCATTTAACACACGAGTGCGTATTATACACGAATAAATAAGTCTTGTGTACATTGATCAATCGGAAGGGGTGCTAATTGGAATTGTTCACTAGCCAATATATTAGCAAATATCGCCGTGGGCGCTTATTAGAGCGGGGTGCTTATCACGTTGAATATGGTAGGTTGGAAACAATTAGTTTTTATTTCTGTTTGGCAGTTTAAAATAACCCACTGCTTTAAAATTGCTTTTAAATAAATAGTTTACATTTCAATTGTTTAGTGTTGGTGCATTTGTAAACCAAGTTTTATAAAAAGTCTGGCTTAAGTGCACAAAGGAATTATGTGAAAACTTTCGTCTCTGTGCATCTATCAATTGCAAACTAGACACTGTAGGCATGAAAGAAGGCCAATGTGGCATTTAATACTCTTACACAGACATTTTGGAATCTGCATAGCCTGTGCTTATTCACTAATACTATTCATATTCATACTAATTAATAAGTTTTCAATATTTCATTCTACGGACTGAAACAAGATAAACTGACTGTGTACACTGCATGACAGGCAGAGGGCTGTACATGCTGTAGGCCAGCTGCCCCCTCAACAACATGTCCCTGCATACAGACGATCTGTCCCTGCAAACAGACAGCCTGTCCCTGCATACAGACGGCCTGTCCCACAAGCCCTGGATGTACCACACCAAGGTAATGATGAAGCATGAACTAGAACATCGATCCACGGTCCCTTCACCAGGCATCCACAACATAACCCTGAACGTCATCACACACAAGTATCACAGCCCATCAGCAGGAGAAAATTTCTGCCAACACTTTAGGACACCTTAACTATTGGGCAGTTTGGCAGGGACTATAGGACTAGTGGAAATTTCTAAAGCTGCCCATTCTTTCCGTTATCTAGCTGATGTGTCATTGTATGGATACATACTCCATGCTCAGTATCTTTCTTTTAATATTCCATCAAAGCATATTTCTCTAATTACATCAGCATAAGCAAAACCCTCGTCAGAGTTACCCGACATGGAGAAAAGCATACAACAGAACGGGGTCAACTGCCCAATACAATCACATTTATAGAAATTAAGCACGAAAGTCAAGAGTCCTTTCCATAACCCTACTGCTTAAAGATAGAGGTTTAGGTTTTCCTAGATTCGAAATCATAGAAGATCCCAGGACTCACTTAATTTCGAACACTGCAATCATGTAGCACAGAAAAATGTACAACACTAGACATTGACAAATCTACCCAACACAACCATGCACAACCGAGGCGTGTACTATACAAAACAAACACAAAACAAGGACAAAACTTGGGGACTAGGGAGGGAGCGAGTATATGAAGGGTGTTTATTGCACCAGCAATGCGTAAGGTAGCATCAGCACGTGAACAGGGGAGATAACACAACATGAACACAACAAGGAGTGGTCAGTGTTAGTGGGGCATGCTGGGTGACTGGCCAAACACTGGACCATCAATGTCAGTGAGGGGGGTGATGCATGATGAGCAGAGCAAGCAAAAAATGTACCCATGTTTGTGAAAACCTAAAAACATGTGCCAAGGTGTACCTCAGAGTTCAAGACGCTAAATACCTTTACCAAGCAGTTACCAAGACAACAGTAATGACGACAAGAATATTACCCTGGTCTGATTGGCCAGGAGGCTCCTTATCGTCTGCGAGCTCATTGCCTTCCCGAGCGTCCTTTGTTCTAGAGTCAATGGTGGCCGTCACGCTCACAGGTTTACTTTCCAGCTTGGCAGGCTCAGTTGGCTTTGGGGGGTCAGGTTTTGGGGGAGGGGGCTTTTTGCCCACAGGGGGAGGGACAAAGGGTTTTTTGGCAGCTGTAGATGGGGGAGCCACCCGATCGTTGGTGGATTCTGAAGAAGCAGGAAATGACCACAAAATGATCAGCATTCGGGTGACATACAAACAATGTACTGTCCAATCCAACCCACAGGTTGTGACAATATGACCTGCTTGCAAGTTGTATACAAGACCTTATTGTAGCTGACAGTGAACCTGCTTGTATAGAACACACCTATATGTTCCTGACACCTGGTTGTGGCAGGCAGTGTACCATAAACCTGCTTGTATACAACACAGTATACCATGAACCTGCTCGTATGTAACACACCTAGATGTTGTTAGACCTGCTTGTTGCTGACAGTGCACCATGAACCTGCTCGTATGTAACACACCTAGATGTTGTTAGACCTGCTTGTTGCTGACAGTGCACCATAAACCTGCTCGTATGTAACACACCTAGATGTTGTTAGACCTGCTTGTTGCTGACAGTGCATCATGAACCTGCTCGTATGTAACACACCTAGATGTTGTTAGACCTGCTTGATGCTGACAGTGCACCATGAACCTGCTCGTATGTAACACACCTAGATGTTGTTAGACCTGCTTGTTGCTGACAGTGCACCATGAACCTGCTTGTTTGTAACACACCTACATGTTGTTAGACCTGCTTGTTGCTGACAGTGCATCATGAACCTGCTCGTGTGTAACACACCTAGATGTTGTTAGACCTGCTTGTTGCTGACAGTACACCATGAACCTGCTTGTATGTAACACACCTAGATGTTGTTAGACCTGCTTGTTGCTGACAGTGCACCATGAACCTGCTCATATGTAACACACCTACATGTTGTTAGACCTGCTTGTTGCTGACAGTACACCATGAACCTGCTCATATGTAACACACCTAGATGTTGTTAGACCTGCTTGTTGCTGACAGTACACCATGAACCTGCTCGTATGTAACACACCTAGATGTTGTTAGACCTGCTTGTTGCTGACAGTGCACCATGAACCTGCTCGTATGTAACACACCTAGATGTTGTTAGACCTGCTTGTTGCTGACAGTGCACCGTGAACCTGCTCGTGTGTAACACACCTAGATGTTGTTAGACCTGCTTGTTGCTGACAGTGCATCATGAACCTGCTCGTATGTAACACACCTAGATGTTGTTAGACCTGCTTGTTGCTGACAGTGCATCATGAACCTGCTCGTGTGTAACACACCTAGATGTTGTTAGACCTGCTTGTTGCTGACAGTGCATCATGAACCTGCTCGTATGTAACACACCTAGATGTTGTTAGACCTGCTTGTTGCTGACAGTGCACCGTGAACCTGCTCGTGTGTAACACACCTAGATGTTGTTAGACCTGCTTGTTGCTGACAGTGCATCATGAACCTGCTCGTATGTAACACACCTAGATGTTGTTAGACCTGCTTGTTGCTGACAGTGCATCATGAACCTGCTCGTGTGTAACACACCTAGATGTTGTTAGACCTGCTTGTTGCTGACAGTGCATCATGAACCTGCTCGTATGTAACACACCTAGATGTTGTTAGACCTGCTTGTTGCTGACAGTGCATCATGAACCTGCTCGTATGTAACACACCTAGATGTTTTTAGACCTGCTTGTTGCTGACAGTGCACCTTGAACCTGCTCGTATATAACAAACCTCCATGTTGTTAGTAGCAATGCTGAATTTCGTATTGCAGCTTATTGCAATAATGATTCATGAACTCATATATGTATCACAACATATTGCATGCATTCTTTCATCTTTAATTCATTATAAATATGAATATAATTGTAGAATTTTCCTATTCGGAATATTCTATAAGTAATACGTTACCACTGTTATACCGAGGCTGTTGTCTCCCACAACTGCTGCTATAGCGAAATCTACCACAGAGATCTCAATTACCTCATGCAGCACGTGCGTAGCCACCTAGCTGCCATGTGACACCCTTCACTCTTGTCTCCTGCGAGAGCAAGTGCTCGGGGGACGGACGGGCGGGCAGCAGCCCAGTGGTAACGTATTACTTATAGAATATTCCGAATAGGAAAATTCTACAAATTACATTAAGTAATACGTTACCACTGTTATACCGAGGCTGACTACCACAGTAGGCGGTGGGGAGCACCTACAACCCGAATCCTGACTGCTAGCGTTCCTTCCGACCAGCGGAAGTAAACACCAAGGCGGAAGCACTCGATGCGCATGCACCTAGCTAGGCGTTACCCTATAGGAATACCAAAGCACTGTCAAGCGCATACCGTAAGGCTCAATCGTCATTGCCAAAACGATTGGTGACTCCAAACGGCCCCACTGGATAGGTATTTCATCGCCGCAGCGGATGAGAACACTGTATCCGCGTGAGCTTAATCTTAGATCAGGTTAAACAGTCGAAAAGAGGGAAATTAATTTCATTCAGACCGTATATCCCAGAGCAAGCCTACTTAAAGTATGCATTAGGCGCGTGACCTAATTCCAGTATTTGTAAGCATGCATCACAAGGTTGGGATACACGACAGACAATTAAAGACATAATTGTCAAAATACAAATAAGGACAAAGCACACAAAAAGCCGCCCTCACCTGTGGTGTGAGTGCGCTGGTTTGCGGGACCCCAACTCCTGTACCCACGGCAGTGGGAACAATGGAGTCGACCCAGATTGACCACCGTGCAAGGTCAGACGCCTGAGGAGTTCGGAATTGCGCTGGGCACACCCCTTAGGTGCCCGCTTGCGCCGCGATCCGCGGGCCAAGACGGTGCACACTCTCCACGACGGCATCAGCGACCTGTTTGAGGTAATGATTGGCAAAAACCGAGTCAGAACGCCAGTAACAACCTCGTAATATTCTGCGAACAGAGATATTCGAGTGTAGGGCAAATGTTGCCGCTAGCGCCCTGATCTCGTGCGGGTTTGACCCCGCTACCGGTAACCCCCGAGACCGGTACGCCAGATTGATGACAGAACGAAGCCACAACGCAATCGAGTTGCGAGTTATGTCAACCGTGCGATTAGGGTTACACGATATGAACAGACGGTCACGCCCTTGTCTACGTTCATTCGAAGCCTTAAGATAATACTTAAGGGCCCTAACCGGACACAGCGCTCTGTCCTCAGTATCAGCAGGATGTAAGATTTCTTTGAGTGATCTTACAGTGAATTCTCTCTCCGTTTGCCCGACTCTCTGATTCTTGGCGACGAAGCCCATGAGCAGGCCCAGGCGGACCGCTCCTTCGTCACCCCTATCGAATCGTACCTTGGCGACATCGAGTGCATGAATTTCGGATACACGTGCCGCCGTGGCAAAGGAGAGGAGAAATGCTGTTTTCCAAGTCACATGCCGGAACGAAGCACTATGCAAGGGTTCATACGGAGCTTCCGTAAGTGATTGCAACACTAGGGAAAGATCCCAGGCCGGTGCCCGAAGGCGGCCCTTCTTAAGATCAGGCTGTTTGAAACCCTTGATAATACCCCGTATCACCGGCTCTTTGGAGAGACTGGTACCCATAGCAACGTCCCGTACCGTAGCAACGGACGAGACTTAGTTGGCAATGGAACCCCCGGAGAGTTTCCGGGTCTCTCGCAAGTGAGACATGAAACGAGCAATATCCTGCACAGATACCTTATCTGGCGAATGAATGTGATGTTTACAACACCACTTCGTGAAAATAACCCAACGTGCATTATACACCTTCTGGGTAGAATCACGATGCATACTAACGTATGCCCGAGACGCCCGGCGAGAAAAAACTTTACTCCTCAGACGCTCGGTGACAACATCCACGCGTGCAGATTGAACTGCCCTGCGTTTGGATGAAGCTGACGGGTGTGAGGGTGGATCAAGAGATCCGGTCTCACAGGCAGTGGAAGTGGCGACTGCGTGACCTGGGTCAGCAAGTCGGGGTACCACGATCTGTTCGGCCACATGGGCGCGATCAGTAACATTCGACAGCGAACTCCTCGGAGCCGGCTTAGAATGTGTGGTATCAACGCTGTCGGCGGGTAAGCATAAGCGACCAAGCCCGTCCAGTCTAACGCGAGAGCATCGTGATAGATGGCCCTCGGGACCGGGACTGGTGATACAAGCAACGGGAGTTGATTGTTGAACCGCGTTGCGAACAGGTCGACCTTCGGACGACCCAAACGTGCGCACAGCCACTGAAACACTACTGGGTTCAGCATCCACTCTGTGGGGCTCGGATCCTGAGGCCTCGATAGAGCATCGGCCAGTACGTTCCGCACACCTGGGATGTGACGGGCGCGTATCTGGCATGGGACACTGTCCACCAGAGCGTAAAACTCGAACGTGAGATCGAGTAGCGAGTGACTGTGGGTTCCCCCCAGTTTGTTCACATAGGACACTACCGTCGTGTTGTCGGTCGCCAGCATGAGCCGGGCGTCGACGAGACGATGCTTCCAGTGATTGACTGCGTTGATCACTGCCTTGAACTCGAGACAAGTGATGTGAAGACCTAGTTCGTCTAAGCACCACAGCCCCGAGCTCACCTCCCCCTTTAGATGGGCGCCCCAGCCCACTAGAGAGGCGTCTGTATACAGGGTCAACGTGGCCCGGTAGGGCCGCATAGAGACTCCTGATAAGACAATGTAAGGGACCGTCCACCACTCCAGATGCGGTCGGAGCCGATCCGGGAGGGCGACGGTCGCACTGTTCACCTCCGTTGCTAACAACTGGATTAAAAACCGTTGCAGCGGGCGGAGTTGGAGACGACCCCGTGCGGTGCAGTCCTGGGCTGATACAAGTAGCCCTAACAGCTGTTCCCAAAAGTGAACAGTCTGTTGCACCGCTAAGACTTTGGCAATCATCGCCTGAATTTTGAGCCACCGGTCTGGGGGGACAAAGAGGCGATGGGACACCGTGTTGAACCAACCTCGGATGAACAGCAAGTTCTGAGAAGGGGTTAACTCGCTCTTGGGGAGATTGATAATCCACCCAAATTGCTCCAAGAGCCGACGTGCGAAATCGAGATGGCGTGACAGGGTGTCCGTCATTCGATTTGCTACTAGCGAGTCGTCCAGGTACGCGAAGTACCGGACACCCCTCCTGTGGAGGAACCCCACTATGGGGGTGGTTAACCGGGTGAACAGCCAGGGAGCGGACGTGTGAATCATTCTGAGTTCGGCACTGTCCTACTTGGGAACGAGAAATATCCTGGAGTAAAACCCCGGTGTTATTTCTGGTAGAGCTAACTCCCGTACTGCCCCTTCTCCACCAACCTGCCGATGGCATCGGCGAGGATGGGAAGATTGGTTTCCGAATCGAAACCTGCCAACGGGGCAACGGTGAGCGGCGGATTCGCTTTGAGATCAAGCCGATAGCCGTACCGAATCGTGTTGACCACCCACGGGTCGTCGAACACTTGTTCCCAATTCTCCCAGTAAGTCTGGAGTCTGGCTCCCACTGGGTAAGGAGAGGGGGCCCTGACAGGTTGCGACAGGCGCAACTGTCCAGGGCCAAGTGACTCGGGTTCGCCTAAGGGCCAACCGAAGTTGGCGCTGTCGGCATACGAACCCCTCCAATGAGAGTCACCTGGAGGGGCCCTTGCCGTCCGTCGACGACTTGGGCTTCCCCCAGTTCCCCGTCTTCCCGCGAAAGGGCAGCTGATTGCCCATACCGGAGCCCTCAGGGCGGGGCTACTTCCCAGAGGAAGAAGAACCCGACCCCTTAGACCTACCGGCCGCAGCAGCCTGGGGCGCGCTCCGGTTAGGAGCGGCACCCAGGCGCCTATGCAGGGACCCAACAAGAGCAAGTGTGTGCCGAGAGTCCTCGGCAACGTACTCCAGGGAAGCATTTAAACTGAGCCGTGAGACATGGAGTGCCGAGCGAGGGCGTCCAGCTGGTGCAAGGTAGCTTGCGTTACCGTAGCAGCCGGTGGGGCACGGACACCCAACCGCTCAACATGGGCCTCCGCGGTAGGACCAGCCTCGGGAAAGGCAAGGTCATGTACCGGGAATAAACCCTTTCTCCACGACGTCGGAGGCAACGGGAGACCCCGACCGGAGGCCGCCGCGAAGGCGTTCTCCAAGGAAGGCTTGAAACCGCGCAGCAAGGTTGATGCGGGGAAAGCCGTGTCGGAAGACTCATCGTATACCTCGGAGGAACCCACAGTCGTGGATTCCCCGCGGTACCGGCCGGGGCATGTCCTCAAAGAGGTCATAAACCATGGCCACGCGGTCCTAAACCGATAGCGGGAGCAACGGTTCGGGGGAAGGACCGGTGACCACGGGAGCCGCCGCCGTACCGGTGGACCCCGCGTCCGACCCCGCGGCCACCGAAGTGGCCGGGGACGGAACAGCCAGCGGCCTATCCTGAGATAAGGCCGCCAGCTTGGAGTCCACAAGTTATGCAAGTAATGCAGCGACGGAATCCCCGGACAGCACACGGGCCGCCAAGAGATCCGCCGCTTTACCGGTGGACCCCGCGGCCACCGAAGAGGCCGGGGACGGAACAGCCAGCGGCCTATCTTGCGATAAGGCCGCCAGCTTGGAATCCACAAGTTTCGACAACAATGCGGCGACGGAATCCCCAGACAGCCCGAGGGCCGCAAGGGGATCCGCCGCAGCCGAGGAGGTGGTACCCGCACGGGGACCCCGACCAGACGAACCGGCCACCACAGGGGTGGAGACGGACTGTACGTACAGCCGGTACCGCTCAAAATCCGCAGGCCCCAGACCTTCGCACAGGATGCACCGGGCGTCCCCGCAAGGAACCCTGCACCGCGGGCAACGATCGTGGGGATCCCGGGACGACAAAAACTTTCTGCACACCCCATAACTCCGAGGAGCAGGGGTAGAGGGGGTGGATACTGGGGACAGATCCATGTCAGACATTGATTGTTTGCTATAAACAAAGAACAAAACATGGTTACAACGCACGCACCACAATGATTCACAAATGAACATTTTCACAAGAAAATAAACGAGCAATGTGAACATATAACATACACATATAACTTTTATTAAAGAAATAAGTTATGTTAACCCCCAAAACATACAAGAACAGTGGAAACGTAAAACACAACGTGCATACGCGAACCCCGCAAGTATATAGAAAAAAGGGCGGGAAAAATTTTCCGTTTGGCGGGAAAATTATAACCAAGCGTAGCTACCGCAACGCCCCATAAAAGCACAGTTTATTAGAGAATAAACTATAATAAATATCACCAAATCTTCAAGGAACGCTTCAGCAGGAGAAAACACGTCTTGCTAAGCAGACGAAGGAGACAAGAGTGAAGGGTGTCACATGGCAGCTAGGTGGCTACGCACGTGCTGCATGAGGTAATTGAGATCTCTGTGGTAGATTTCGCTATAGCAGCAGTTGTGGGAGACAACAGCCTCGGTATAACAGTGGTAACGTATTACTTAATGTAATATGGACCCACATGTCACACATTGACAACTATGTCCGCCATTTTGTTGGATGTCACCATGGTCATAAGGCACATGGAATAGACACATTATATACAGGAAGCTGGTCGAAAACAGTTTCCTTATCACAGGAGCTGCTAATTTCTGAATTTCAAGTTTCATTTTGACTTGTCATAAACGTTAACAAGATGAAAATGTGCATGATTTTAAAACCAGTATACCAGTATTTTCCATTGAGATACATATGAATTATGAATTCAAATCATGGCATACTGTATACTGATAATACCTCTCACCTCTAAGTAAGCCCTCACTGTTGCTGACAGTGAGCATGTACCATGAACCTGCTTTAACATACCATACCTACATGTCAGGTCAAATTGCTCCTGGCAGCACATTGTGAACCTCCTTTTATGTACCACACAAAATGAGGCAAATGGAAGCCAAGATTTAATCTCAGAGTGCAAAGAAAGTATTAGGAGTAAGGAGTTCTCAAAACTTTCATAGTCCTGATAGCTGGCTACACAACCTCAGGTTAGGCCACTTCGCTACCTTTATCATTTAGTTGTAGGCCAGTTAGTATGAAGAAGGGCCAGTAACTTGCAAAAGGAGCAAGCCATGTTGGCTACATACACATATGTTTTTAAATCTACCCCTGCACACCTGCATGATGTCATTGCCCCCGTTGAACATGCATCGTCCTTGCTAGTGTATCAGGCAATAATATAAATATATACTACAACAACTGCATAAGGTAAGTGGCAATGTGACCCTCCACAATTGCAGGTAGGTATGTGTCGCTGGCCCTCATCTCGGAGAGCAGGTGACAAGCATGACTGCACCCATGTGATAAGCTCTGTTGTGTGCAGCTCAGCTCAGATGATGAGGGTCAGCTTGCTACTAGCCACACACATGAAAAGCTTGCTGAACAGGCTGGATATAAGTTGTACATGAATCAGTGAAAAGGCAGGCTACATAAATAGCTATACATGTGTGGATGCAGAGAAATCTTACGTGTCGGCTTCGGAGGCGGTGGTCCCTTCAAATGAGCTGACAAGAGATACAGGACATCACACAACGGAACACAATGTACACTGAGAACCCTACAGACTACTCTCAACACCACATTATCAAATGTTGAAGTCTATGTTGTTTTCTGAGTATGTACATGGAACACTGAAATCATTTACGACACAAGTTTGTCATCATTTTTCAAAATTGGACTTTTATCACTGCCATCCATTGAAAATTATACCTTCCAATTACACAGACCTTTTTTCTAGCATCATTGCCTTCCCAGGAAATCCACAGACTACCGATGAAAACCTTGCCCTCCTACAATACAACCACCTGCCAATGAGTATAACTATCCTTTCCCTAAAACTCCTACCTGTCCGTGACACCCTACCTACAATACCCTGTCTCCCCCACTGCCCATGACACCCCACCCCTAACAATACCAAACCTAGCCAAGACACCCCACCCAACTACAACAGAGCTCGAGGTAAGCTGCGTATTTGCGTAAAATACCAGGGTTCACTCTATGGATTTCTGACATGGGCCCTTTATGTGAAAATTTCTAATATTCCTGAGGTACACCCACACTTGCCCCAAAAGCACAATGTTAAAATGACCCATTGTATTTGAAAATGTGGGCTTTTTTTCAAAACCCGAGAATTATCCCTGAAATATGCATTAAATAAACTGAAATATGCAGAGGAATAAAATCCTAGTGTATCAAACACGCAAGAAAAACTAAAAAAATGCTACTAAAACAAAAATTGATGCGTATATTACAACTATTAAATAAAAAAATGGCGTATACTACAACTGTTAGATAAAATGATTGTGTATCAGCTGACTGCAAAATTCACTTGCTGACAGTTACATTTAGACAAGTTTGTGCAACAAACATACTGATAGATGACAATTGAAGAGCACATCAATGTACACGTTGTATCTTAAACAGTCGCTGATATGGTGATTAAAAAAATGTGACTACCCTCTAAAAATTGTGGATACCCAATCAAAATAAAACCCCTGGGTAAAATACCCAAATAACCAACAGCTTCTCTATAGCTCTGCACAATACCCTGCCCCTCCAAGACATCCCCACCTGTCTATAAAATCCTTCCTACAAAACCCTTCCTTCACATGCCACCCTGCACAGACAAATTTACCTGTGTGGTCTTTGATCTTGTTGCTCGGTGCCTCCGGCTTGTGTTTGCCATCATGTTTTGTGTCATGTTTCTTGGACTCTGTGAGATGGGGGTCGGCAGCAGGGACCCTGTCAGGCAGCTTGGGGTACAGACCAGGCTTGCCTGCCCCGCCCCCACCACCTGGAGGGGCCTTGGGTATGGTCGAGATAGATGGGGGTGGAGGCTTCTTAGGTTTGGGAGCCTGCAGTTACAATAACATATAATGAACTGTTTGGTAAACATTTCTTAGAAGGTAACGGATGACAAAGTAGATACCAACGTTTCGGTTTTGACGGTATCTGTCAAGCATGTACCGAAACGACACTATATATATATATACAATGAAGAACATGGTATATTTCACAACACACTGTTCTGTCATGATGTCATTTCTGGTGATTTAAATATGTATTCGCAACTTGATAACATCATATATTCGACGACATTATTTTTGAGAGGGAAGTGTCTAGTAAGTTGTTCCCCATAGATGTAGCTGGGCTATGCAGATAACCCACCTGTAAAATGGACTTGTCCGACATTACCCAGGTCGGATTCTTTGCAGAGAGTCATCATGATTAAAGTTTTGGTATATATTTCTAAAGCTTGTACATTTTATCAACATCCTGAAGGATGCTGTACATAATGTTGATGACTCATATAAGAAATACATAAACGACTTGTGGCGGTTGTTTATCGAACAATAAATGCGCCCTTCATGGATATTGTTGATGCAATGTTATATTGTACGATAAACAACTCCCACTTATTGGTTATTTCTTAAATACATACCAGGCATTAACAGCTTATTGTTTCTTTTTGAAGATTGAACTTTATGACTTTACACACTGAAGAATAATAATTGACTTCTACATTGACATACATTATAAAATATGAGTTAGCAGACAACTATGTGCTCTTTGGATTACTAGAAACAACTTACTGAGACTGCCAAAACATAGTCAATGAAGTCACTTCAGTGAGTCCTTGTCCCATTCCCTGTACACAGGCCTTAGTACTTACTTCTTCTGGGATGAGTTCCACAAAATTGTCCGGGAAAACACCAACTTTGCCATTGACCTCTCCCTTCCACCATCCTTCATCCTCCAGTTTGGTGTCAAGCACTGAGATGGTCTCCCCTTCCTTCAAGGACAACTCATCAGGCTGCTCTGCGGTGTAGGAGAATCTCACAACGGCTCTGTTCACTGAGAGACATAAGAACATTTAAGGTCATAGCAATCAGGGCAACCTATTGACAATTTGCCATTGGCATCACACCAGCAACATATCAAGGACATCAGGGCATCACACTAGCAACATATCAAGGACATCAGGGCATCACACCAGCAACATATCAAGGACATCAGGGCATCACACCAGCAACATATCAAGGACATCAGGGCATCACACCAGCAACATATCAAAGATATCAAGGCATCACACCAGAAACATATCAAGGTTGGTTGGTTTGTTGTTTAAAGCCTCACTCAGCAATATTCCAGCTATATGACGGCGGTCTGTAAATAATCAAGTCTTGACCAGACAATCCAGTGATTGATATCGCGAGCATCCATCCAAACAATTGGGATCGATGACATGCATCAACCAAGTCAGCCTGACCACCAAATCCCATTAGTAGTCTTTCACAACATCAGGGCATCACACTGGCAACATATCAAGGACATCAGGGCATCACACCAGCAACATATCAAAGATATCAGGGCAACACACCAGCAACATATCAAGGACATTCGGGCATCACACCAGCAACATATAAAGGATATCAGGGCATCATAACAGCAACATATCAAGGACATTCAGGTGTCACACCAACAACATATCAAGGACATTAGGGCATCACACCAGCAACATATCAAAGATATCAGGGCATCACACCAGCACATATCAAGGATATCAGGGCATCACACCAGCAACATATCAAGGACATTAGGGCATCACACCAGCAACATATAAAGGATATCAAGACATCACACCAGCAACATATAAAGGATATCAGGGCATCATAACAGCAACATATCAAGGACATTCGGGTGTCACACCAGCAACATATAAAGGATATCAAGACATCACACCAGCAACATATAAAAGATATCAGGGCATCACACCAGCAACATTTCAAGGACATCAGGGCAACACACCAGCAACATATCAAGGACATCAGGGCATCACACTAGCAACATATCAAGGACATCAGGGCATCACACCAGCAACATATCAAGGAAATTCGGGTGTCACACCAGCAACATATCAAGGACATCAGGGCATCACACTAGCAACATATCAAGGACATTCGGGTGTCAAACCAGCAACATATCAAGGACATCAGGGCATCACACCAGTAACATATCAAGGACATCAGGGCATCACACCAGCAACATATCAAGGAAATTCGGGTGTCACACCAGCAACATATCAAGGACATCAGGGCATCACACTAGCAACATATCAAGGACATTCGGGTGTCAAACCAGCAACATATCAAGGATATCAGGGCATCACACCAGTAACATATCAAGGATATCAGGGCATCACACCAGCAACATATCAAGGACATTAGGGCGTCACACCAGCAACATATCACACACAACGTATCAGTAACAACAACACATTTTTGGCAACATATTAGTCCGATCCTAATGACAAGTCCTACTGTCACACTACCTTTTTTCTCTCTCTTGACCACCTCAGTCGTGATGGGTATGGGATCAGCTACAGGGGCCTTGGTGGGTTCAGGAAGGGGTGGCCGGACTGGTTCCAGGGGCGGAGGTCGGGCTGGCTCATGGGGTGGTGGTTTAGGTGGCTCCTGAAGATGTTGAGGAATATTGAGTGATCAACCATAGTTTACAAAGCTAGAAAAGTGTTTATATGATATATATATATATATATATATATATGTTAAAATGTCTATAACAACCTTGAATGCCTAAGTTGTCAACTCAACACTCAATACACTCTTTCCAATGGTGTAATGAAAAAGTGTTACAAACAACAAGGCAAAAGAATTGTCATGTTTGTAAAAAGACAGGGATTAATAACGCATGAGCTGAACAAGCTTCATAATGTAATGAAAGTATAGAATCAGATTGTGTTTCTGTGACCTTCACCTTTACATCAGCGTGCTTCTTCGCCTCCACGGGAGGTGCTTCTTTGTTTTTGGGAGCAGAGCGGAGTTTGATTGGGCCGCCTTGGAAGATGTTCCCCAGGCCAATACCGATCACCTTCTTTCCCTTTATCTCGTGAACACTGCCAGATGACTCATCACCAGAACCTGACACAGAACAGCAAATCGGGAACATCACATCACCCATCTGACATCCAAATATCTACAGAGCACGTCAGAGTATCACTAACACAGAACATTATACATCATATCCCCCAAATAACATCGAAATATTTCATCATAGTATCACAATATCACCACTCTAGGGCTGGGACATGTCCAAATTTGCTATGCGGGTACCCGACCCCTATTACCCGACCCTACCCGGGTACCCACTCAAAGCGGTGGGTACAAAATGTCCGATTGGAAATAGTTTGACCATCGCCCAAGAAAAATGTACCCAAGTACCCAAGTTACCCGTCCCAGCCCTACACCACACGCACATGACATGGCATCACTCCAAGGAGCATCATCTTTCATATCGCATCAAAATGTCCTAACAGACAATATACACACATCACCTCGTATCAAACAGGGACACAGTTGTATCACATGGGGAACATCATGATATCATCTACACAGATCAGGTCTGAGGTTTCAGTCCACATCTTGTTCTACATCAAGAATCAACTCACCGATCCCACTTGGTTTGTCTGGGACATCTGGTTGTCCTGCATCCTCTGGCTGTTCCTCACACATCTCCACAAAGTTGGATGGGAACACACCACTGGGGCCATTGTTGCTGCCCTCCCACCATCCATCCTCAACCTACAGGGACACCATCGATCAGCTTTAGTCTGCCATTACTATTGTTTACCAGGGTGCCGTTGTACAAAACTACCTTAGCGCTACAACTGTCATAAGTCTATGTTAAGGTATGGGAGTTATGATCATCTTAGCGCTAAGATCGCTTTGTACAACGACACCCAGCAATCTAGCATTATCATCTTGTGAATCACTAAGAATGAGTTTTCCATGTGGTGCCAATGTGAGAGATCAAAACACAGGTTTTCTGTTATACAAGCCCTGTAACCAGAGCTACCCAATTCCCGGGAAATCGGGGTGAGAATTTTTACCTCCAGAACAATGTAGAAAGCAAGGTCAATTCTATCTCGCATACAAAGACAGTCTTACTTTCCGTACAAAGTCAATCCTACCTCCCGTACAAAGACAATCCTATCTCAGTAGAAAGTCAATCCTACCTCCTGTACAAAGTCAATCCTACCCCCCATACAAAGTCAATCCTACCTCCCATACAAGGTCAATCATACCTCCTGTACAAAGTCAATCCTACCTCCTGTACAAAGGCAATCCTACCTCCTGTACAAAGTCAATCCTACCTCCCGTACAAAGTCAATCCTACCTCCTGTACAAAGTCAATCCTACCTCAGTAGAAAGTCAATCCTACCTCCTGTACAAAGTCAATCTTACCTCCCTTACAAAGTCAATCCTACCTCCTGTACAAAGTCAATCCTACCTCCCATACAAAGTCAATCCTACCTCCCATACAAAGTCAATCATACCTCCCTGACAAAGTCAATCATACCCCCCTTACAAAGTCAATCTTACCTCCTTTTCAAAGACAATCCTACCTCCCATACAAAGTCAGTCCTACCTCCCATACAAAGTCAATCCTACCTCCCTTACAAAATCCATTCTACCTCCCATACAAAGTCAATCCTACCTCACATACAAAGTCAATCCTACTTCCCCTACAAATTCAATCCTACTTCCTGTACAAAGTAATTCTTACCTCTCGTATGAAGTCAATGATTTCTCCCTCCTTGAGTAGCAGCTCATCTTCATTCTCCGGTGTGTAGTCAAACATAACCTTGCATTTCTTTTTCTTATCTGAAGAGGAATACATGGACTACAATGTTGTGTATATTTACAAGATGGATGGTAGTAAAACAAACAGGTCAAGGCCAAAGACAGATGAACTCAGCCAAGATGGAATATTAACACTTGATTGCAGAGTACCCAGATAGGTTCCGAAGATGAAGCATATTAGCAATATGTGTCAAAAACTCGCACAAACCTGTAGAGGTTATGGATTCTCTGATGAAATCAGTGTGTCAAGATTTTCTTGAGCAAGGAAAATGCAATAAGTGCCCCAAGGAGGATTTAATCTGAAAGAGAATCTTTAGTCTACTACTACTAGCCAGAATCTGTCACATTATTTTCAGTAGTGAGTGAGTGAGTTTTTTACGCCGCTTTTAGCAATATTCCAGCAATATCACGGCAGGGGACACCAGAAATGGGCTTCACACATTGTACCCATGTCGGGAATCGAACCCGGGTCTTCGGCGTGACAGCGAACGCTTTAACCACTAGGCTACCCGACCCCCCCTATTTTCAGTAGATCTTGGTGTTAAAGTGCATGTCGCATGGGCATATATATACAACCTTGCACATCTGGATAGACCATAACATCGTTAATGCAAATATCAATTCAGAACAGTGGAAAGTGGCACGTAAATAAGGTATATTTGCCTTTTTGTCCAGTCTACCAATTTAAAGTATAAAAAACGCACAAGCCCACAAGCCCACCCCTCCCTTTGCACTCTAGCAGGCGAACCCTCGACCCTAAATTGAAAGGGAAAAATATCTTACAATGATAAAATCATATTCCCATTAAATCAAGGTTACTTCGCACGCCCCTACTAGCCTTATTCATGACATACATGGAATCCATACCAGTATAACTCGTATATATACAACACAGGTCTCCCAACAACTAATGAAACGATCGCGTATATTCGGTATCCAGGTGGTGGTAGTATCCAATCAGCTTGCAGCCGTAGCTGGCCGTGCCAATTAAGCCATGCCTCCTCGTTAGCATTTTTAAGATTCATTTGGGTTGTGACAAATACAAAAAATTAAGCGCAACAGCACTAAGTTTACGTTTTCACACTTTCTTATTCTACATCATACTGGCTAGAAAAGCCTATTATCATCCCAAACAGGCTCCTACCGCAGAAATGGCTTGTGTGAGATCAATGAAATTGCATCACAATGGTTTGCAGACCATTGTGACATCACTGGTTACCATGACATCACAAACAAATGACATCACTAATGGCTCTGCTACTGAGGCTGTTAGCAGTACTTTTTACACTTAAGACACTGCTTATAACAGTCTTCAAACTGAAAAAGTTGGAAGAATGATGTTGGATGATAAATAAAATCTCACCCTTGTGTCTTTTGCTATCAAATAGATCCACACTCGTTGATATATTTGATATCAAAAGACTCGGGTGAGATTCTCTATTTACTATTTTTCATGATACTTGCACTTTATGTATGGACCTCTATAAGCAAAGCTTACCAGACCAAAAGAAATCTTACTAGATTCAGGCTTTGGTATCATGGCCAAAGTCACTGACTGTATAAATTTCATAGAATTGCAAGAGTTTTGAAAGAAATATGATAGATATTTCAAAGCATGGTCATATCTCATCCCCAACACTTCAAAGGTTTGTAGAGACCATGTTCTTCAATCACCAGTGAATAAATACAGAGTTGTAACAGTGACATCCTCCTCTATATCGCCAGCCCTCACATTTCAATAAACCTACAATAACATCTGGATCCATTCCCATGGTCCTTGTGATCTAAAGTTACCTGCCCTTGATTTTCATTAGTCAGTATGATTTGTTACACTCCTCAGTGTAACGGTCCAATCAGAATGTGTGTTAGAACCCAACTGCAAAGCTGAGTTGGTGACGTTTCAATACCATGACGGTCAGTCCCATTGATTTTCGATAGACTTTGAGAGAAGTTCAAAATTTAGAATCAGACTGACATGCAAAAGAAAGCACCAAAAAATCTTTTGATGGAAAGGATGTCTTCATGTCAGGCCTCAAAGTTGCGACTAAAACGGTTGCCAATTTCCACCTTAATTTCAATTTGTCTATTGTCTAAAATTCAGACCTTGAAAAATATCTTGTGGCGACTAAATTCTATTGCTTCCCATTTGAAGTCACAAAAATAAATAACAGCTGATTGTGGAAAAAATGTCTGCTAATAATTGTACTCGTGTATAACACCTCCTATAGTTATCAATGAACACAAATACAGTAAACTACGGTTATAATGAACACGCTTACAACGGACTGACGGATAAAACGAACTTACTTTTTTGGTCTCGACTATTTGCTGTAGTTATACTGTATATATATGCTAACAACTAAAATTAGTAGTCCCTTTGAGTTCGTTATAACCATAGTTTACTGTACATAAATACTAATGTAATTGGTATTTTATTTCAGTTGACAGTGCTCAATCTAGTAACATAAATTACATCTTTGTTTGAGTCACAAATTACAAAAATCAAGTACAGTTTCCACTAATAAGCAATTCCAACACTAGTGCTATGACTTATAATAATAGTTATTTGATTAAAGATAATTTCAATACTTTTGGCTACCTACAATATTGGCTTGACTTCTTGATTTTACCACTGGCAACTTGGGAAAAAAATACTTGTAGCCATACGGCTACTTGGTGAAAATTTAAACTTTGAGGACTACATGTCAATTAAAACTGGCAGTGGAATACGTTTCTTGGCATTACGAGTTACCCCCCTTACCTATTTCCTTTTTCCTTATCTGTACATTTGACTGGTTGGTAAAATGTTAAGAAAAATCAAGGACAGGTAATTTGAGATAATGGGAAGCACGGGATTGGATCCAGGGGTAAGTGTAGGTGCAAGCCCTAGAGATATAGAGGATACAGTGACATATAAGTATTTTTAGTCAGGTATTGAAATGAGAATCAGAGAAGTCAAATGAGCACTACTCCAAGCATGTGCAAACCTTAGCAGTGCCTAATTCTGAAGCAACATGTGGGGGCTTAAAAATGTGCAGTCATAGTAATGGTTAGTCAGACACAAATTCAAAGTATTTTTAATGTAGACATTAATATTAGGTTGCATGTTTCAATAACAGGCTGCACTTGAGCATGTCTTATAGAACTGAACTGAGTCCTGTGACTGTCGATAAGTGTGGATACTTCAATGTCATGAGTGAGTAAGGTTTTATGAAATATTACAGCAATATCATGGCGGAGGACAGCACAAATGGGCTTCACACATTGTACCCATGTCGGGATTTGAACCCGGGTCTTTGGTGTGACGAGCGAACGCTTTAACCACTAGGTTACCTAACTGCCCCTCCATGTCGTGAACAGTAGAAGCTGACAGCAGTAGGCTATATCTGTACATATCACATCAGGTACTGCCAACAATGTAACAATGTTCCGTAAACCATATATGTTACTGAAGCATCAAGCATTGAGTGAGTACTGTGCTTACAATGTATCATCAATACTCCAGCATATCAAGACTGGGCTTCTCACATTGTACCCATGTTGGGAATCAAACCCAGGCCTCCAGCATTACCAACTAGGCTACCCAGACATGTCATTGCTGTACTTGTTTAAACTTCCAGAAAGTTGGAAGCGTAAATGCAGAAACTGTCAAAATGCAATATCGTCTGAGGGAGTGAGTGAGTGAGTATGGTTTTACACCGCTTTTAGCAATATTCCGGCAATATCACTACGGGGGACACCAGAAAGGGGCTTCACACATTATACCCATGTCGGGAATCGAAGACGGGTCTTTGGTAATGCAGAGCGACTGCTCTAACCACTAGGCTACCCAACCCTCCCTCGTCTGAGGGAGGTATGTACACTGTGAGTTGAAAGTCCTACATACAGACCACTCTACACTTTAAAGAGAATGAGTTGAAAGCTTCTTTTTTAAGATAGTAATGATTATTCCAAACCTTTCTTTTTCGGTGGTAGTGGTCCAAGAGGCATGTTGTCTTTAAATTTGCTGGCTAATTCTCGAACGGACTTGCGCTCTGGAGCTTCCTTCTTCCCAATACCTGGAGATTTTCCTTTGTCGTCTTGTTTCAGCACCTGAAATAACAAACCATTCCTCAATATGTTCAATTTGAAAGAAATTCCCCAAATTTACATGTGTTCACATTTAAAACAATAGATCTCTATCACCTTGTACTGTAGTACCACTGACAAAATGCTCCAGAAGATGCACCTTTTGCCATCCCCCATTCCCTTCCCATCTTGCATAGAATGTCAAGTCTTTTTCGCAGAGCCCAAAGTTAATAAATAGAGCCACAGGCACTACAGCTCCCCTAAAGTCAACAGTTTAAAATTTAATTATAAATAAAGTTGTGTCAGCAATGATATTCAAATAGTTTCTGCACAATTACTGAGGACTGAAAACTAACACTGAAATCTACTAACAGACCCCAAGGTAACTTTTTGAGCAATTGAGTTTTTACTCTAGGATTTCAATTTTAATTTGGTTATTACATTTTTCATTCGGTGACCAATATTTGTTCACTCATCTATTCATCACTCTATTGTTTTTTTCCCAAAATGAGTGAACATTTTAAGATTTACAAAAAATGAAAATGAAAAGATGTATATGACAGTTCTAAATAAATAGGATGGACTCAGAAAGTAAATTAGCTCGTAATTGTGATAACGATGCTTATAGATAGTAAAATAGCTTGTACGCAAATACGATGCTGTAGCTCTGTACTAATTTGAACAACTTGTGAAGTCATTTAAGGAGAAACATGTCAAAGTTTAGCTTCTGCAGACGTCTTTGAGAGCATTTACCAACATCGTCAAAACAAAGTCAAAATTAAAAAGAATCACTAAACAAAATGAAACATACATGTTGCCCTTTTAGGTAAGTATTAACTACACATGTACAAAATTTCATTCCATTTTGAAAATATATGGCCTTGGTGGTCATAGTGAAAAATGGATTTACACCTGTAGAACAGATTCAGGGGTCATCATGGGTCATCATTAGTGGATACAAGCATGTGAAGTTTAGCAAACTGGCCACAACATAAGCTGGCTTGAATTTCAGCCGGGTGGGCTACAAACTGCTTTGAGAACATAACCATCTTGCCAAACAACTCACTCTCATCCTTTCCATGGTTTAGCCCTACCTTCACAAAGTTCTCTGGGAACATCCCCTTCTTGCCATTGAGCTCCCCCTCCCACCAGCCACCATCACTTTGTATGACATTTTTGATGATATCTCCGATCTTCAAGGACAGTTCATCTTCCTGCTCAGCCTCATAGGCAAAGTCCACCACAGCGTCAACTGCAAGAACATAAAGATTTATAGTAGTGGATAGATGTGTAATCCGATTCCGAATTCCTCCACAGCATCGACTGCGAGGACACAAAGACAGATGTAGAGATGTTATCTGACCCTGAACTCCACCACCCTGTCCACTGTGCAAGGAATCAGTGTTACTACGATCAAGGACAAGGTGCGTAAATGTATTAGTAATTCACACTCAAACTTGTTCAGAACCTAATGTCCAGTCATTAGAAGACTGCTTGATGCAGTCACTATCTCAAACAAAATTGGTGCTTGCCATGTTGAACAATTAGCATTTTTAACATGTTTAAACCAGCAGAGATTTTGAATTTTTGAAACTAAAAAGTATATTTTGTTGTATCTGAATAAGCAATTTTTTAGGTTCAGTGCTAATGGTCAGATGAATGCAGGGTTCATATATTAACATAAGGCTGCTAGTCGAAGACTCAAAGTTCAAGAAGGACAAGTGACATTTTTGCTGGTCAGTGAACATGGTGAAATTCAAAATTAATTTGCAGCCCTGTGGACATGGTGGATGGACAAATGACCAACAGAGCCCAACTATGTAAGCTTACTTTAAGTTTAATCATTGCTAATGATGCCAAGGTGACCTGCAATCTTGGTTGTGCAAGTACCAACTATAACGATTTGAAGACATTTATTGGTAGAAAGCAGGCAGATTAATGGAGGGAAGGACGAATGGATGATGACAAAAATGAAATCTCTGTGAAGGTGAACTCTTGCATGTATCATCTGTATAGTGAGCACATGGTTAACAAACATTATCATTATCTTAAAATCACTTATAACATCAGATTTTACAGAATGATGATCGATGATGAGCTTAAATCTAATTTTCCACGGAAAGAAATCTTTAGTTAAGAGTTCATCAACATTATAAATGTGTTCAAGTTGTTACCATGGCTAATATATTCATCCTGTTTAGCAACATGAAACATTCACCAAATGACCAATGTAACATTTTATTGAAAACTGCAACCTAATTTTTATCTCTACATGCATCACGTGCATATCAAAGTCTTTCAAATTTGTGCCTTAATAAACCCAAGCATGTCCACACAACATCGGTCCTTGAACACATGTGTATACGCTTAATTTACCATAACACATCAATAATCCCTGTGTTATGTCCAATTTGTCAAGTTTCGGGGGGCTTGACGTCGAACCATGGGCAGTTAACAATTAAGTGCATGTTTCAACTTTGATAAATGTATGGGACAAAGGTGCAACCTGGTTATGTACGATGCAAGTAGGTTTTCATGTCACCATGCACCTGGTGCAAGTTAAAGTTCCTCCAATTGAGACTTGCTGTTCAGTATATGTCAGTATTATCAGTTCAGTAAGCCTTCCCTACATGCATATCTTATATTTTATCAGGTTTATCATTAAAGATAAGCATAAAAGAATATTATGTTTTCAATTCTCTTAAACATGTTAAGTAACTAGACAAGGAACAAGGAACTGAGGTGGGTGGTGTGAAATGCACTGTAATGTTGCATTCATGATATGTGTGCGCGAGTATGCAGAGTACTGATAGTCTTCATAACCTTTGTGAAGTTTACAAGGTATACAGCTATTACAAGGGACAAAAGGCTGGTCACATGACCACAGAATTGACATACAAAAGCGTATGAACGATCCATTTGGACATTCGTACATTTTTCACCAGACAGTAAATTCTTCAAGTGTCGTTAACACTGATGGACACACAGCCTCATTCCTGGGCAAACCCTTGGAAATTCCCCAGTACAAATATGTAGTGTTGTTTCTGACCACTAAGACACTCTAAACTTGAGCTTAGTGTTTTTGAAAACATTGGAAAAAGTAATTGACTGCATGCACATGACAAAAGATCCTTGCTAGTGAACAAATCATAGAAATGCATACCTGATCTACCTGATCTATGTCGATCTGTACCTAGACAGACAGTGACACCCATCAACATTCTACAGCAATCTATGAATTTACTTCACTACCTATTCGACACATCTTCATAATCACCTTTGAATGATTGGCCAATTGATCAATTATGACTAATCTTCACAGGTTCACTGACAACTTCCGAAATCTCCCCTGTGACGTTGACTGAGTCGGACATTCTGATTTCCTGTGCTTGAATTAAAATCTATTATGACGCAGTGTCACCTAGTCACTGTGACTGACTTACACAGGCATTTTACATCTGATATTATTTAATCTATCTGTTGCAACTAACTACAAAAAAACATTCTGTGGAGCAATTTCAGCATACATTTTCTCATACCATCTCTTGTTTTGACAACTGTTGTCATTCGGATACTGATGGTTTATTGCAAGTGTAAACATGATGTCTCTCATTGTAAACATGGTAAATAAAACTCTGTATACATCCTTCGGTGTACAAAATAAGGATTTAAACTTGAAAGAACTGACTTTCACTTTGTGTGAGTTCATGGAGGGTATGAAGTTCCTAGATTGAGGGCCAACATTGTATGAATATCATCGTTAGCTCTGACGATCATGCAGTTTGGCCCTCACTCCAATGAACTTGGACGTGAAAGTCAATTCTTAATCAACATCATCTATATCATAACATGCCAGTAAAGATGTAAAAAGTGACCTCTATATAGCCAGATTTAATTACCTGACATTGACAAGGATTGAGCCTTTTCAAAGTGCTTGTTTGGCCAAACTGTATTCTTTTAACCAGAAAACCAATCAATCCAAATATAATTGGCTACTTACTCCTTCACCTGATGAAGGAGTAAATATATATATACTCCAAAACGTGATGTTCCTCATAATACATGTATAGAAGTTGACATCAATAAATTCTCTTCCTTATCAGCATGATCAATATTTTGTTAATATATTTCCTTATTTGTCTTTCATATCACTTACACTATATTTGTGTTCCTAAACGTTCACCATAAATTTCTGTTACCATCATCACCATGAAAAAAGAGATAGGGTAACATAGTATCACCCTGTCTGTATCCACCATCATTTGTGAGGAAAGATGACTTGGGACCATATTTGATTCAACAATATTATTGATCATGATGATGAACATGTGAAGACCAAAACTACCGTATTCGACGTAATAAGCGCCCCGCTCTAATAAGCGCCCACGGCGATATTTGCTAATATATTGGCTAGTGAACAATCCCAATTAGCACGCCTTCCGATTGATCAATGTACACAAGACTTATTTATTCGCGCCTAATACGCACTCGTGTTTTATATGCACCCTTAATTATGGGCAATTAAATTCTGGAAAATATATCTGTCGAGCATAATACACCCATACGTTTCTTTTGTATCATTTCAGGCTGTCAGCATAAACCACGAAATTTACGATCCTTCTACTCCGTTTTTTCTCTTACCAAAATTATATTCTAATAAGAGCCCCCCATTTCTAAATTTGAGAGCGCCCCGGGCGCTTATTACGTCGAATACGGTATACCAATAACATATTTAAGAATTGTTTTGTGAATTCATTATGTAAATCTATAAGCATGTTGTAAATTGTAGACCTACCTGAGACAACATCAGTTTTTTGTCATGTATTAAGGTACTAAGTGTTGATTTTACTGTTGTACGAAGACAGGTATACCATAAATACAGGATTTGTTTGTTTGTTTGTTTGTTTGTTGTTTAAAGCCACACTCAGATTCCAGCTATATGACGGCAGTCTGTAAATAATCGAGTCTGGACCAGACAATCCAGTGATTGACATCATGTGCATTGATCTACCAATTGGGATTCGATGACATGCATCAACCAAGTCAGCAAGCACGACCACCCAATCCTGTTAGTCGCCTCTTACGACAAGCAAAGTCGACTTTTAAAGCAAGCATGGGTTGCTGAAGACCTATTCTACACCGATCTCCACGGGTCCCATGTATACAGGAACGTAAGTTAATCTTATCAATGTTTATAAACACAAGGAACATGATGAAAGTATGGGAGAGAATATTGTGCAGCCACACAAGAACAATTGAGACAGGAATTGAGTGTAACAGTGAAAGCATGAGCTATTGAAGATGATACACTATTAGCCAAATCTCAATTTCCCATCTTCATTTCCTGAATCCTGACTCAACTTGTGGCATAAAGAACCAAATAAACATGTAATGGATGCTCTCTAATCATGCAAATCGGGATGAAATTTTCACACACACTTGAACATCTGCTCAGCTGTTCTGCTTATCATGGGGTATTGCATGAATAAGTGTAAAAATGTAAGCTGGTTGATCTAACCTGTCGTATTTGAATATGCCTTATATGGCATTTAATGTCACTGACATCATGGCCACCGACATCGCAAACAGTGATTAAAATGAGATAATATGGCAAGTGGGAGACATGGAGACACTATCACTTAATTATTCAATCTTGTTTATTTATTCTTATCATATAAAGTAAGATGAACACGAGAATTAGTGTCCGTTTGGCTCTAAGGGAGAACGATGAATAGCAAAATAGCTCAAAATCGGGAATAGTCTATAAAATGGCAATATGGTACACAGCAATGAATACCCTGTACCCAAAAATATCTGATGTTTGTTATATTTATTCCCATCATTGGAAAAAGGTCTTTAATAAACTACCATGTTGGTATGTGTACAAGTTGACATATTGGTGAGGTGAAATTGGGTTTAACGTCGCGTCCAAGATTATTGCACTTATATAGCGACGTGCATGCACGTGTATGTGTGTGTGTGGCTGCTTGTACTAGTCCGGACTGATGCCGATTTATAGTGCTAGCTCACTGTGATACCATGCCGCAGTTTAACATGAATACCCCACTCAGACACAGTATACTGACTCCGAGCCGACCAGTCCTTGTTTTAGCCCCTTAATGCCGAGCGCCAGACAGGGTAACAACAAGTACAATCTTTTAACGTCTTTTTGTATGACGCGGCCTGGGATCGAACCCTGGACCTTCCGCTCTCTGGGCGGACGCTCTACCACAAGACCACGGAGGCGGTCAG